CCCCGGAGCTGCCCCGATCCCTTGCTCAGCTCCTGCCTCCCTGGTCCGCAGGAGCTGCTGGCCCACGGTGAGCTCAGGCCCCCTCGAACCCCGAGCCGTGCACCACAGGCTGCACGGGAGCTGCCCCTGCTGCATCCCCCTGAGCAAAAACACCACGGACCAAACCCAGGTCCCCATTTCCTCCTCGCTGCCAGCTCATACTGCTCCCCGTTCCTTGCTAATCCCTACATACACGTCCCTTCTCAAGATCTTAAGCAAACGTGAATTCATCTGATCAGAAACCCCCTCACATATTGGAGAATGTGATAAAATGCACCTTGTATTCACAGTACAGGAGCTAACCTCTCTATAATTGTTAGCCTTCTGACTAGTAAACATTCTTTTTCATTTACTATAAATACGTAGAAATGGTTATGCTGGAAGTGTTATCAAAAAAGTTTCAAAATAAATTACATTCTATGTTTTGCACACACAGAGAATGTTCTGAAACATTTACTTTCTTGCTTGTTTTCCATAAGAACATAATTTTCAAAAATCTCTTCAGCTGCTTTGCAGTTACCCATGAGTTAAAAAAGAGCAACTGTTAGAAACTTAATAATATTCTTGAAATAAAGCTATTTAAAAACATTTCATGTAGGAAAGTGGGAGCTTGGCATGGCATGGGCCTAATCCCAGCAGATTTAACCAGTGGAATGAATCAGAATAGCAGCACTTGTAAATCAGTATGTATAAAAAACTCGTAATTTTGCCATTAGAGACCTGTTCCAAAGCTCATGGGAACCAGCTGTGGAAATCTTTACATAACCTTCCCCAAGCACTGTAGTCTTAAAAGCATTTTGGATGTAAGTCCCCAATATGAAGGTGACTTCTTAAGAAAAAACACAAATGCACTTTCATTTTAGAACACACATTTGAGAAGTCACTCTCCTGTACACAGACCGATGAAATTCTTTCCTTCTGGCCTTTGAAAGAAGACTTAACCGTCCATTGCATCTTACACAACAAAGTTAAATGACCTCTCAAAGATGCATCTTCTTGTGCTCACAGTGTATTGTCAACTACATGCTTCAATATGAAGCTGCATATAAATGGCTAAAGCAGTCAAGGACATATATATTAATGTAATTAGGTATATTATGTATATTATATTCCTAAGAGCCCCTGAATAAATTTTCCAAATGAGATGATAAAAATAAAGGTAAACTTTACTGGAATGAGTACTGTTCTATAATGTAAGTATAGTAATTAAGTCCAGCGTTGAATGTAGCACCATTTACATTATGAGCACTTACAAGGCCTCAGAGTTTCTTATTTTGTTTTAGAGCTATTAAGCTCTCACATGATATTGCAGAGGAAATGTAGTGCAAAGCCCTAACTTTTGACATCCAAATCACAAACAACAATCAAAATGAGGTTTTACTTTCTCCACTGAAAGAACATGGCATGTGTGAGTATGAATAAGATATTCTCATGGTATTGAAAAATCCTGATCTCCACTGTTCTTTATATGATCTGAGGGGTTTTTTTAAGCCAATCAAATACCATGATATGGCATGCCATGCTGCATCACTGTTCCCAAGAAACATGTCTTATACAGATAAGTGCTTTGGGTTTTTTTATTTTCAAAGTTTTTTGTTCCACGCTTTTTACCAGTGTTATTCCATATATATTGCTACACCTGGAATAAATTTTATTTACAGCAGAAATTTCCACCACTCAGATATTCACAAATAAGCAGAATCTTTCAAATGGCTTTATTAACTTTTTGTCTTCCTGTACAGTATTGGAAATGTATCACTATAGTATTTAAATACTACTTTAATTAAAATAAGACACCAGTGGTTAAGGGAGATTATTCCTCTCCTCTGCCTACCATTCTTAAAATTCAAGGTTGGTATTTCTTCACCTGCTGCTACCCACTGTGTGGCACTGTGAATTTCAGAAGAATTTTCATCAAATGGTTTAATTTCATGTCCTAGTCTGAAGGGCATTCAGAATGGCAATCTGATTTTTCAATTACATTGTCTGCAAAGCCATGCTTCAGTACATAGTATAGCAGGAGCACCTGAAAAGACAGTCTTCTGAAACAAGTTTAAAATATTGTTTAATGGAAGAAGTCGGATTTGTACTGAATTAGAAACCAGCCCTGAATGTAGAATAAGGACTGTTCTTCAGCACTGAGTCTCTTGCTCAGTGCTCCAACACTCGTATCAGTGATAGAGCAGAAATGCCTAATTCTGATTTGGGGCAGGGGAGAAGAGAAACAAAAAAGCTGAATTACTGAGTTGACCTAGGCTGACTCCACAGAAGGTTAGTCAAAGGTTAAAACACCAACAAGCAGTAGGATGTTACAGGCAAAATACATTTTTCAGGGAAACAGATGGTTCAGGCAGGATATGCAATGTTTAGGATCAGACCAAGGGAAGAGGAGGCAGGAGATTTTTCAAGTTCTCCAAGAAGCCTTTACCAACACTGTTCTTATGAGCATGGTGGGAATTGAAATCTAAGGTACTAATGGCTCTCTTAGATGTAGAACTGTTTGCATCTACGTTGGCAATTAGCGTCCTGTAGGGATTCTTCCTAGGCATTGCTTTGGAGTCTCAAAGTATGCGTGTGAGCACATCAGTGTTGTTTCCCAACCCATTTCCCTTCTGACGGAACTGAGGAACTTGCTCACCAGCGTGCCATCATGTGTGTGGTGTTTGTCAAGTGTCCTCCAGCAGCTACACTTTGTGTATGCATCGTGCACACTCAGGGCCAGTAGTAACTGGCATGAACTTCACTGCCAGGCGAAGCACTGGTGTTGACATGGTCTGGCAACCATAATGAACTGCAATAAACCAAACTCTCTTCCTTCTGTCCTTGCAACCTCATCAGCTGGTGATGTAGTCATACACAGTAGGACCTTCACTGGGCAGCAACTTGAATCACTTGGCTCAGCAGCCAAGTGTTCTTGCTGTTTGTGCTAAAATTCTGAAGGATAAAGTCTTGGCCTATCTTCAGCGGAGGAATGCGGTCACTGGTTTTACAACCACAGATATCGTGGGACTCTACAGAGCACAGCACACTTCTGTTACAGGGCTTGTGTGCCATGATCAAAGGCAAGACTGGAAGCAGAAGGATCCTGCTTAACAAGTCTGTAACCATGCAGATCAATTAGTTGTGTTCTACAAGAAAGAAATGTTAGTCAGTGCAAAGGCTGATGTAGCCATGAGACTGTGCTGGTAAGCACAAGGTAGTTTTGCTCCCTGGTTCTTGGAGGTTGCAATTTTGAGGTCAGTTATTCTACATGATCAGACTGGATTTTCCCCCGTTTTAGAGCAGGTATGCCAAAAAAAAAAAAAAAATTAATATCAGTCACAGTAAAAGTAACTTCTATTTTTAAAAGCAGGTAATTCTGATAATAGTTATTGCCTACAAAATTGCACCTGATTTCACATTATAAAGATTCAAATATAGCTTGGAAAACAACATGGAAGGGCTAAAATAGGAAACATTCATGAATATGCCATGTTTCCCCTGCTGAATTATCTCCAAAATAGAAAAGGAGAATAAATTTTGGAACAAATTATTTTAAACTTATCTAAAATAGATATTTTTGATCCCCAATAGCAGCATGAAAAATGGAAGTTACTGCAGAAAAAGGAAGGTGCTATAGGAGTTACTCATCATTATAAAACTAAGCATATGCACATGTTTACCAAGTCAGAGATCTCTTAGTTTTCAGTAAAAAGAAAAAGAGAGTTTGTAGCTCGTTTCTGAAGAGAAGATTGAAAAGTTGAATCCCAGTGAGCCATATAATAAATAGTCTAATTGTACTGAGTTGTCAAATGTTTTATTTTAAAGCCCATAAAAGAAGTTTCTGAGGTCCAGCTCAAGATTTTGAGCTCCTCATGTTATACCAATATTATTATAGCCTATTTCACTTTGGTGTCTACAGAATTTGGGTTGCTAGTACAAGGAAACACATATTTCAAGCCAGCTATTTTGTTTTAGTTCTTGATGTGTCAGGGAAACACCTTTATTAATTTCAGCTTTTTGTAAACTACTAATTAGTGGCCTTGGTTCAAGATTAATGTGTCCTGTTATAATAAAGTAAAATATGTGAAATAATAACAGAAAATTGAAATAGCATATTTGAGGGAATTTGTTACCATAACTAAGTAAAAATTATCTACCGATACTTACCAAAACATAAGAAAAAGAATTGTGATATGCATACTATAAGCAAAATGAATGTATCACAGCTGTGCCTCCTTATTTTCCATCACATTTAAAAGTCTGCTACTGGAAAACAGCTTTAAGCAATGTTCAGTGAACTCACATTAAAGAGATCAATGCAGACTAGGCACCTGCAGAAAAAAAGTCTCTAGGAATGAAATTAACTCCACCTTCTGAAGGACTATGGGTAAAATGGGAAACATTTATACATTTTTAAATGGCCAAGATTTCACTGCTGGGTCAAAGTGGTTGAGAGACAAATATTTTCATTCGAGGTTATGATTCCATTGTATATTATGTAACTTAGTCACTGGTGGGTTCTCATGGTTAAAATTTACCATCTCCATATTGCTGTTTTTCAAATAATTTCTCTATGTGCACATATGCATTTTATATATATATATGTGTGTGTGTGTGTGTGTGTGTGTGTGTGTATATATCTATAAAATTATAAGGATTCCTTACTGGGAAAAAAAAAGTCAGAAAGCCTTTTAAGAAAACAGAGAAACAAGGCTCTAATAGGAGGATTTAGGAATATACCTGCACGATGCTGTTAATTCAAATGTTTAAATAGTCTTCACCTCAAGATGCACCACATACATTTAATTTTTCTTTAAGTAAACAGACTAGTATTTTATTGTGCTATGTAGTAAGCACTCCTCCAGTAATTTCTTCTCTTTGGAACGGTGACTACACACTTCACTTCTTAGGGATTAATGAAACACAGTGATGCACGACATGAATGGCTTATACAGACTGCAGGAAGAGAAGCCAGTCACCTTTACCTGAAGTGGGAGACTTGCAACGCTCTAGCTCCAGGGAAACTGGACTGTCACTGAGTTCAGTCAGGCCTGAAAAAATGGAGTTGAAAAGTTAAGTTACAATCTAACAGGGCATGCTTCAACTTTCTTGGTTGATGATATTCTGCACTTGAAAGTAAATTTGGAGAACGGAATGGTGTGAAATGTGAGGGAAATATCTATTTCAGATAACTGCAGTTATCAGGCTGTCACAGCAGAAATTTAGGTCTGGTTTAAAAATCACACCTCTCGTTAACTCAGATTTGTTTTCTGAGTGCCTTAGAGTAGACAGAGTGACTGTACCTAATGAGAAAAAACAAGTAAATATAGTTTAAAATGTAAATGTTTGTGGTTTGAATCAAACTCATTCATTCCTGTCAAACTGATGTGGAAACAGCTCTATGCTTTCAACAGCTGCAAAATGCAGAGAGGAAACCTTAAAACAGAGGGAGAAGATTAAAAAAAAAAAAAAGTACTGGTGAAAAAAGAAAGTGAATACAAAAATACCACCACTGCTACGCAGTATTAGGAACTTTTATCTGGATTCACACAAGATAGCTCATTTTAAAGACACAGAGGCAACGTTAATGCTGTCTGAATACAACACTGAATTTTTGGACAAGATACTTTTATATATTGTTTATAAATATTTGTGAGGAACATGTTTGTAGCAATCTACCATGGAAGACAGCAACAAGTAATCTTAATTTATACTGCTTCAGCTTCTTTCTGTGATCAAACTAAGATCCATCTTTGACACACGTTGCATGTACACGTTTAAACATGCCTTTTGGCATGCTAGGGAGAGAAAGTCTGAGCTCTTGCTATCCTTCACTCAGCAACACTTACTCAACTCAACCGTTGAGTGGGTGAACTGGGCATGGCCACACCTAGTCAAATGTACCCTTCCTGTGCATTCCATGGTGCCCTACAACAAGTGGTTCACACTTGTTATATGGTGCTCTGACACTTCATGCCATAGGCTAGTTGGGACTAGTCATGGGCTAGTGGAGAGAGCCCAGCACCAGATACCCATCTGCTAGCAACGTGTACTCGCAGCACTCGAGCCACAGAGCCTAGTGAACATTAGTCCACGATCTGATATGCATTACAGTCATACCGGTACTGTTTACACACACTCTGTGTATATTGTATCCTGGAAGTCAAACATCCCACCACAACCTTTCAGTATGCTTTAATCTGGCACCATGACTCCTGCAATGTCACATGTTTTAATTTTTATGGCTTCTGGACCCTCAGGCTCAGAGAGCCTCATCTCTAAATCTCATATAGACTCTTGTTTTTATAAATATTTGCTACCATTTGGTCAGCAGTGCTATTCTCTGTATTAAAAACGGTAGGATTTTAATGTAGGTACTGATACTTTCATTTCAATGTAATTCTGAACTGCTCTGAGAAATGGGGAGAATCCAGAGCCCTAACAAGCAGAACAAAAACCCCCTACCACTAATGATGTTGAGTGAGTGACAGAGCAACTTTGAGAGCGCTTTGGAAAAACAGCAGTATTAATTTGGTCTGGTAAATCAGTAGTAACGACAGATTTGTTCCTGACTTCTAAACAACAAAAGATCACAATCTAGGTACTAATGTTGAAAACCAAATATTTTTTATTTTGAGAAAAATACTTGAATCTTTCTTTGATTCAGCTTCGAATCTGTGAGAGAATTTTATATTCCAATCAACTGTGAATCCAGTCACTTTTGTTGTTATGAAAAATTCAGGAACTGCAATCATTTAGGGATCCTCTCTACATATAGCTTGCTTTCAGCAAATCTTACTTCTACCTGACTCTGGGTTTTCTGTATGTACCTAGAGATTTGGGATGTAATTGATTTTTGCTGCAGAACTGTCTACAAGGTACAGTGGGAGAGTGTTTGGTACATTTGCATAGCATCAGAGGTCTTGGATAAATAAAATTAAATATTAAACTGTTTCCTTTGCAAATGCAATATTGGAGATATTAACATTTTAACACTATAGTTGTGATTAATGAAATTCTTCTAAAACTTCTACAGTGACTATTGGTGATAGTTACAACGTCATATCACAGGTCAGATTTTGCTTCTAAAGAGTTGGGGGGGGGGTTTTGTGAGTTCACAGACACAATATTACATCTTAACACAAATTATGGGGCCACTGACTTAAGAAGGAAACGCACTAAATCGCACCACTGTTCTGAAAACCCAAGAATAACCACAATGAAAATAACAGAAGCTCCTTATGTTTGGCAACAGTTTTACAATTTTCAACAGTAAAGATACATTTCATGTTATGGTATTTAAAAATTCCGAACATGTGAACTTCTCTACAAATCTAGACTTGTTGCCAAGCCACTGTCACTTCTAACAATGACCGCCAACAGATGCTTTTTAAAGAAAACACAGTGCACTAAGTCCCCATGCTAAGCGTAAGTGGTACTATGTGGCCTAAACAAGGGCATCATCTTAATCTGACGCTTAGCTTTGCATAAACACTGACTCTTGCAGATTTTCTCCTGCCATCAATCATTCTTGCTTAAAATGAGTTCTTATTATCCAACCCTGTATCCAAAGTCTCTTTTAATCTTACTAAATTCTGAATCACAAAGATGTCATATGGCAATGATTTGCACAATCATCATTCACTGAAAGGAATAAACATGCATCTGTCAATTTTTCTGTTACCTTTGATTCCTTTAAATGTTGTCTTTTGTTTCTCTTTGATATAAGAAAGGGAGCTCTCAAGCTTTTATTTGTACTGCTGCTTATTTTCTATTGTCATTTCCTTTTTAAGTAAACCAAGCTAAGTCTTTTAAATAATTTATCATGTATAAGTATTTCCATGCAACTCAGCCTTCCTTCAGTGTCTGAGAGACTACAACAGTTACTGAAGTTAAATTACAAAAATTTTTTCACTTTTCCTTTTGAGGATCTGTAGGCCCAATCCATGTCCCAAGATATTTTAGCTATTTTTAGCCAAAAACCGCTATGTCAGCAAATTTTGAGTCCAAGTAGAACAAGAAGAAGATAGCAGCAAAACTAAAGGCAAATAACTGAGAGTGGCGATGTAAACAACCACCTGTGAGAAGAGGTACCCATTGACATTATAAAGAAATTGGCTTTGATTTGAACAAATTATAAATGTGAAAATAGTGCAAGATGTAAATATATCACATAAGGCATTAAAGCACTTTTAAAGACATGTCTCATGGATACTTTTCAAAGTTTACAGTGATTTCAATTTCCTCTTTATTAAAGGATCAAAAAATCTACTGTCTAGTGTGGAGTAACAACTTCTATGGACTCATAATTTAATTTAAAATTCTTTTTGAAATTTTAAATTTCTTTCTCCATGATTAAATGACTCAGACTGATCATTTACTTAAAAGCACCCAAAACTATCACATCTTTGCTTATAAGTAAATTAATTATAAATATATTATCATAAATATTCACAAAACAATAAGTAAGCCCAGTGTTACCTTAATCCATCATTTTCACACTGAATTACCATACTATGTTTTCTCTATGTTTAAATACGATGCATTCTTTGGAAATGGCAGTTAGTTCAGAATATAGCTGTTGACTTAAAACTCAACCTATATTAGCTTATACTGTGTTGTCAGGTGTGATTTAAAGTGTCAATTACTGATATGTAATGACTCATAACACAGTTTTCAGTGTCCTTCTGCCAGAACAAGGTTACTTTTGCTCACATCCTCTCAAGGGACTGGCCTGAAGGAGGAACAAGGAGTTCTTGCTGAAAAGTCTTCATTCTGAAAATTATGTTCCAATGGATCAACATCCTTTGAACTTGCTGACTTTTTGGATGCTTCATAAAGACTATTTATTTTTTTGATTTACCAACAGATGGTATGAATTTCTAGTAGGACATGCAAATTGCTTTTGCAAGTTAGTATTTTTATATTCTGCTGCAAACACTGTCTCTCTGATGCAGAAAATGTACTTAATATCTGAATATATGTTATCTACCACTAGGTAATAGCAGGTACACTTTGACTTCAGTCAAAGGAAAAAAAAAAAAAAAAAAGAAAACCAACCAACCAAAAACACGGTTCTGTATTACTGCACAGATAATTTATTTTATTTGGCTTTGCACATATTCTTGCTACAAAGGAAGGTGGCTGCCAGAAAATGTTATAGCAAATGGAACAGGTCATCAACACTGGAAAGCTACCTCCAGTTCTGCACTTACCCTCATCCTAGCCTCTTATTTTCCTCAGATTACTACTTCTGATAGGACAATTATGTTTCAGTCTCTCCCATTACACACGCCTAGAACTGATGAAATTTCTCTTCCAATTTCTTCCCTTCCCACTCTCACCTCCCAAACCAGAGAACGTGCTGTCTTAATGATCTAAATCCACTCTAGACACTTTTGAGACTAGCTTACACATGTATACATTACTCTTATCAAGCTCTCTATAGATTTATTGGCTAAAATTCAAAACAATTATTCCACCACTGTGCTTTGCATATTGGATGCCCTTGACATTGTTGATTCTGTCTGTCCTTTGGAAAACCTCTCTTCTCCAACATATTGCTTCTTTTCCCTGTTTGATGTTTTTTCTTTTCCTTTCCCTCTTCAGTTGCAAGGACTGAAACATCAACACTTCCTTTAACTTTCTGTCCCAGTACTCAAGATGATTCTCTCCTATAAACAGGACAATAAATACCATTTTTTACCCTAATGATTCATAAATACACACCTATAACTTACATTCCTTCCAAGTTAGAACAGTAATCCTGTCTTTCTAAAATTTACTCACAAGTGTCTAGACATGAACTTAACATTGCCAAGATGAACTCTATTTTTTTGTGCTGAAGTCTTCTCCTCTTCGCTACTTTAACACAGCTAACACCACTGCTGTCTTCCCTGATACCCTACACCATAATACTGGTTTCATCCTTGGAACATCACATGTTAGCATCCAGTCTGAATCTGAGAGCTAAACTAGACTGTTTCTTCCTGCAAATTATCGCCAGAAAGTCTAAGTATCTTGCTCACTGGTAATCTCTTCTTTGTCATCAATGTCTGCAAGTCTTATTCTCTCGGACTGATCCTCATGAAATTATCTTCCTTGTTCATTACTCAAATCGAATCAAGTCCTGATATGACTTCCCATTAACTTCCATTTTCATTTATATAACCCTCAAAACTCTAGACCCAATGCTTATGTTATCGCATGACTGCTCCTGCTTTTGCCTTAATGATATCAGCTTCGACTGCACAGTTTCCCAAAATATTTTTTTTTTTTCTTTTCCCATCATCATCCCTTATGAGAAGGGACAAACTTGTAAGTAAAATCCTAAATCCGTTCTCAATACCTCTCTCAAAACTCGTATCTCAGATAAGACATATAACAAAGCATAACTTGAGAATGACTTCGCAAGATATTTTACAGTTTATGACACATTACTGCCCTGTTCTTTATCTTATCTCCTGGTGCATTTTTCAGATTATACAGTACAAGTATAATCCACTCCTGTATATTTATACAGTCCTGTATAAGTATCAAATGGCAAAAGCAACAACCAAATTTTTGAGGAAGGGAGTGAAGTTGTTAATGATCTTGCACAAGATTCAGACATACTATTCAGTTAAGATTTTGTGGACTTTTCCGATTTTGGGCTTGAAGATGGAAACAATATATTTTCAGCTATGAAAAACCCTATGGTCTGTGTTTGTCATTTTGGATGAAAATGTTGGTCATTTTTGGTCTTAGAATTTATTATTTTTTTAGCGGGGGAAAATCCCCAAAACTTTGACTTCTCTTGGGTTCTCTGTTACAGACTTGAAATTAGGAAGACCAGACTAACAAACTTTAAGACATTATACATCAAACCTTTCTATGGACTGCTGGGTTTGTAACTGAACTAGTCTTTTAACTAAACAGGCCACCTTTTATGAAATATTATGAAATAAAACAATAGAAGTCAGTTGTGGAGTAAACTGTCTGGAGAGATGGAATAGAATTTCTTGTGTGAGTGTACAGATGTGTTTCAGTAGCTACACAACTCTGTATTTATGCAATATGATAAAGCAACTGCCACCCCTTTATCTTGCCTATACTGAGTATTTAATGTAAAATTGCCTATCCAATTGTTCTGTGAAAACTACTTTAAAAAGAGATGAATAAGAGGCATCCTGGAGACCTAATTATATATAAGCACCGCAGTTAATTAAGATACATACAGTTCATCTGTTGAACAGTCATTTTTGCAAAATTAATTATAGCTTTGTTAATCGCATTCTGCAGTGATGAATACTAATATTTAAATTGCATATCACTATAATTCAAAATTTGAAGATATTAAAAATATTAATTTTCATAGCTCTCTTTGATGTATGTATTTTTATAAACACTTTAGATTCCCCATTAAAGATCAGAGGCATGGGATAGTTCCCCAAAGCCAAATATTCAAGTACCAAACCAAGATTAAAATTATAAATTTCACATCACTCAATCCAATCGGTACTCTTTTAAGCCACATTGTTCTTCTGAAAACATGGAAGAATTAATTAATAACTACAACCAGGAAGTGCCATTGCAAAACAAGAAATGCTTCATATAAGTAGGTATACAATGAAATGAATATAAAACCAAAGAAAGATACCGCCATCGAGAACATAACATTGTTAAAAAATCATTTCTAAGGCCAGGTCTGCCCGACATAAGTCACTGATGTTTTCTCACTGACTCTTTTGGAAGAAGAAGACAGATTGAAATATCTGCATAATAAAGGTAATTTTCAAAATTAAGCATGGTTGACATCACAAAATGTAATAAGTTTGCATGCATGCTGAATGTGTTTAATAAAAACACATTACAAAGCACAAACACATGGGTTTAAGTCAGGCATAGTCCAATCATGATAAAGCTATTTGCCTAACCGTTATCGAACTTACTCTGATAGGAAGTACGGATCCGTTTCGTTAAATCTGGATAAAAGTTAGACAGGCCACGCATGCAAAAGTTGTCTTTGGAACATGCCAGTACACCAGCATCAGCAGCAGGCAGAGGAAAGAGAGAAAAAAACAGTCTAAAGTGAAAGGAAGTGATATCATAACCAGCATCTAGAACAGCCAAGGTGAAGAAATTTCAGCAGATGCTTACCTTCCAATTGGGAGATATAACAAGAAAAATAACCAAAAAAGTAAGTGATGTGGGATGGACGGTGAGAAAGCAGCTGAGGCTTTTTTTAGATGCATAGTTTCTATGAGCAGTCGAGAAGTGTGTATCCCTTCTTAGCGGTCACTAATCCCCAGTGGGCTCCATTCTAGCAGTGCTGCACAGCTGGAACGCTGCCTTAAGGACTGGCCAAGCCTGCCACTGACAGAGAAACCCTATGTGGTACGGTGCTGATGGCAGTTATTTCTACATCAGCTACCCTCCACCTTTCGTACAGGGCCCTGCAACACGTTGCTTGTGGCTAGCTGCTCAAATTACTTTGAGCGCTGCTACGGGGCTGGCTGAGCCAGACAGAGAAGCTGAAGGTAGTAGTTTAAGGCTGCTTGTCTCTTCTCTCCTCAGCTGTGCCAAATTTACATCTTTAACACTTGGCACAGATGAGATCTAAGCTTGCCATGATTAAATGCCTAGAAAGTGAGATAAATGGTCCTTCAGGAATAGAAATAGGCCTGAAGACTTGCATTTCCTTCTCTAAATTTTACTTTCTGTTTGGAGTACAAACATATTCCCAATTAAAAGAAGTTTCTACTGACTCTGTGGAGAAATAGGATTTGATGATTTAGTGCAGGGTCTGCTGATGAAAATGCTGATGTCGTAAACCCACTATAATCTACTGCTTCTATAATTTTATGGTTAGATTTAAAACTCAACATTTTCAAACAGATTTTAAAATCTAATTCTAAAACTTCACAGCTATGTGAAACACATTTCATAACTGTGTCTGACTCTAGTATGTTACTATACAATATGTAGAGTAAAAAGACTTGAAACATAGAAGATATGGCTTTTTTCTCATACAAGTAAAATTTTTAGATAACAAAAAATACATGGTAAAATTTAGCTGCATTGATGGACTAACATTTCTAATAGACAATGCATAATAATAGCTATGACTTAAAAATGTGATCCTTCTGGAATCAAATTTTACAATGGGGTACAGATGGATTTAGTAAGTTAATATCAAGAACTTCAATTCACTAACAAAGTGGCTGATTTGAGCTACTTGTGTTATCTATGTCTCTGAGGTGTCACACTTCTCCAAACACAACTGCCTATTCAAATACCAGTGAATAGCACTTGGCAGAAGATACAATTAAGATTAAATTGGTTTTACCTATTGGTATGAACTTGTTGAAACCAGAAAGAAAATAGCATCCAGACTACACTTCAAGTGACTGCCAGAGAAACCATTTACTGCTCTGCTCATTATGTTTTTTTTTTACAGACTCAGCTAAGGGGATTACTTGCTGACCTCCATCCCAGAAGAATAAACTTCATAAAACATTTTGTTTCTGAGAAAGTGTCAGTACCTAAAGCATGTCAGGTTTCTTTTGTCAAGTTATAGAAACTCCACTGGCTGGCAAATCGTCATGCATTTCAAAAGCACTATAAAAAGCCACAGGCAAAAAGACCAAAGAACATATCAGGCTCATAACCACAATAATTTATTTCCTACCTGCAGCAAACTGCTTGCTTTTGCGAGGTGAACGGGGTTGACGCTGGTATGGATCACTTGATCCATACAGGTCAAGGGTTCCCATGCTCAGCAGTACTGTCTTCTGCATAAAGTCCACAACGGCCAAACCATTACAGTTTCCAAATGCCACTCTGAGAAAATAAATGTTCCTCAAAGGTATTAGTAATATGTAATTAGGTGGTGCAAACAACAATAATTATTTATTATTATGAATTCTGCACAAACATTTTCTTCAGAAACTACTCAAAGCTTACATTTTACATTTCTTACAGATTCGTAATCCTGAATTTATAAAATCGTATCCTGAAACACAGTAATTGACTTTCCAGGAAGCAGACTTCCCACTTCAACTAACTTCTGTGCCAAACACACTGCAATAATGTCTCAATGTTGTTTTACTGAACAGTATAATTCTAGTAATAATGATGTAAATTAAGCATAAAAATCTGGACATAGATCTTAAAAAGTGGTTATAAATATATATATATAAAAAACACAAATTAATTAGAATATAAATGTATATACATGTATAAATAATTATTTTAATGCAAATATAAATGATAAATGAAATATATTAAGCTGTATTGTGGTGATATCTAAATCTGAAAGATATTTATAAAATTTCATTCCAACTCTGTCAGCTTGGCTACAGTATAGATTCCTGATAAAATAGCCTCTTCCCTTCTGAAATGCTTTTACAAATGGAATTTTGATGGTGCTTTGATTCATGGGCAAGATCTCTCAAGTGGCATGAGATCGCCTAAGAACTGGACTGCAGTCTTCTTATAAGGAAAGAGAGATGGAACAATTAGTTTCATTTGCTGCCTAGAAAGTCCCTTTGAAAGTGTTCTGCCCCAATTCTTCTCAATTGCTTCTACTGTTTTCCTTCTGACACCAGTTTCAGAAAGAAGGAAGACGTTGTTTTGGACCAGTAGCACTTACTCCTCATCTCCCATAAAAATGTTTTCTGGTCTTTTTTTTTCCCCAGCTTGGAAGGGGTGGAGGTTGAGGGGGGGAAGGAAGAAGACAATGCATCTATCTAAGGGAAAGGAATTAAAAAGGGAAAAGCAAGAAAACAGAAAGATGCAGAAGATCTAGACGTAAGACCTGGGAGAAAGTCCAAAGTTAACTACAGCATATGGAAACCCATATATCTCAGCAGATTAAAGCATTACACCTATTTAAGATTTAATACTAAAATAAACTATCAAAATTGACCAATTTCTTTCTGTTTTAAATAATGGCAAATAAATTCACAGAGCATATGACTATTGAAAGGATTCATATGCCAAACCCTTGATACTGCATTGTTGGAGACTTGATTTAAGGAGGAATATTATATACTGACAATTATTCTACAGAATTCTCTTCTTATCTATCAGACTGCAGTTTTAACTTCCAGATAGAATGGGTGCAGGTACAGTGACAAGGAAACTCCAAATCCCAAACAACGCTTAATTAGATCAGGAATAATTTGTGATTAAATTCTGTCATTTTATGGAGAAAGTGATTAAGGTGGTCAGTTCAAAGACCTTCCAAATATTTAAGCACTTCATGTGAAAAAACAATAAGAAAAGAAAGAAGCAACAAAATGGAGGGAGAGGAAGCAGGGTAGAGAGAACATTTTCCTCTGTTGCACCTTTTCTTCCTCTGCTTCCATTATAAAACAGAGGGTTCCATATAGCAAATAGAAGAAGCAAAAGGTGAAAATGAGGTGAGTTTTTAATATTTGTCAAACTGGAAATTAAGCACCATCTACAACACTGGCTCAAATTCTACTGGTTCTTACTACACCATGTTTTCTACCCTTGACTTAACACTGACTCTAGTACAGCATCTATGGAAATACTATGAACATACTCTTTTTCTCCTGTATTGACTCTTCACTGATCTGTAGCTTAAGTAGCTACTAACATACACCAGTTTAAAGTGTCTACAAACACACTTTTACCTGGCAATATTTTGCGCTTATGTGGAAAGATCATAAAATGCACTGAAGAATAAGCTCCATGTTTTATGAATGTAGAAGAATATCTATTTCAGAAATTACTAAAGCCTGTTATGCTTAATAGAAGAACAAAATAATTTTTAGAGAGTTCCCATGGGACAAAAGGAATTCTATGTCACATTTGCCTGAATACCATTCTGTGCAAAGCTTTATATATCTTCATGTTTTATTATTTAAATTATTTTATTATTTAAATTATTTTGCTATTTGTTTTTGGCGCTTTTATGTTTTGCTTTAAAACATATGTTAATAGGCATTGTCAGAGAAAGGACATTGAAGTAAAAAAGATTACTCGTGTAAAGTGTGACAGCAGTTCCTGTGTTTATAAGTTCTTATATTCTAGGGGAAGAAGACAAATAAAGGAATAAAAATGATGAGTATCAATCTTATTTGTTAATACTTTAGGGAACATAAATTATAGCCATCTGCCCTTTGAAAATTATTAACCTAAGATTTATTAATCTTGGAAAACATGAGTCACAAGAAGAGCTGGTGATCATTCACTCTGTGGTCAGCAAATTAGCAAACCAGATCATCACTTCCTGGTCTGCATTTTTCTAAACTTCTCTAAATTCGCACACAAGCATGGATATAATATTTCTTATAATTAGAAAAATTACTTTACCAAGAAAAATCAGAAATTGTTCATTAATATTATAACACTTCTGAGGAATGATAAGAATATCTAGACAGACATTACTATTATCAAGGCTTAAGACAAATTGGTAACATCCAAGTCTTTATGAAATCAAATACAAAATAAGCATAATGAATTTCTCAGTTTTGAGTGATGAATACAGTTAGTTGCTAAATGTTCTATTATGTGGGTATTTTTCCTAGAAATGTCATAAAATCCTCATCAGACATTTCTTGACAATTAATATGTAAATTGGCTAAAAATTTTTATCACATGAGCTGGTAATCAATTTTCAGAGACTGCTTTTAGTCCAACAGTACATACTTTAAAAGAAATTTATTATTTGTATTTAACCTTGTTGATCTTCAATTGCAACTGAAGCATTTTGTAAATTTTCCTTTTCTATTTTCATAATATAAAGAAGTTTTTTTGATGATTCATTTCACAAAAGTAAATGAGGTGTTAATACTTCTAATTTGTATCTTGGTACTGCTAAAAGTAAACAAAATACATTAAGTAAAATTTCACATTGTCCGAAGTCTTTTATCTTTGCTGGGGATAAAGTTTTCTTTATATCTCACTTTAGTCCTGTTTCATGGCTGCAGTAACACCAGGGACCCTAAGTTCCTATTATTTATAATATAGGTACAGAAATCAAAGTAATTAAAAGAATACTGGAAGTAGACACTCCAGAACACACTTACTACCTAGTTAAACTCATTGTGATAGGAAAAAAAACTAAGCAAAAGATGACTCAAATAACCCTACAATGCGCATGGCAAAAATGACATATTCTCAAGCTTCATGCTGAAATGGCACAGTTTTTCTACATTGTGAAGCTAGATAACTGGAGAAAACTAAAGTATTAAGCAAAAATTCTGATGAAAGATAGGATTGTACTTTGTCATAGGCCCACAGGAAATGTTGAGAGAGACAAGAGAGAGGGAGAGAGAAGAGAGTTTGCAGAAGAAATTTAAAGAAATAGGCCTTTCTTGAGTAGCTTTTGTAGGAAAGTTAATTTTAGATTATTGGACTATTTTACTGATACATGCATTTATTTCTGAAACACTCATGTACAAATGAGTACATGTTAACAAATGAGAGAATGATGTGATTATTCCTGACATCAGATAACTGAAACCTGCAAGGGAGCAAATTAGGTAAAATCCAACAATTTGCACAAGTGACAAATGCATCTAGGTATGGTAAACCGAAAGAAATTTCTAGAGTTTATGAATAGGAAACTATCTGGAAATTCAGGCCAAAGACTTGACAAAACAGCCCCCAGATGACAACATTTTTGCACAAATGTAAAGGCTCTACCTAAAATTTCCAAAGTCCCTGAAGAGAGTCAAGTGACTTACTGAAAATCAGTAGGAGTCAGACACCTAACACCCATTACAGCCTATAAATTTTATTGGAGTAACACCTTCTACAGGGAAAACCATCTTAATGTATCTGGGTGACTCTCAGTGAAAGAAAACATTAAAAACTGGCAAATAAATTGAACCTGAGGAAAAAAAATAGAGAGATATGCATACTTGCATTTCCATACAAAATTAGCATTTGAACATTCTTATTCAGTTTTCAATTTCAGGTTACTGGCTCTCTTGCAAACAGAGATTAGCACACACATAAAAATGCTGCTCTTAGAAGACAATTTCCAACTAAGATATTATGTCATAATAAATGACATTTAACACTTAATCACATCACCATTTTCTATGAAATGTATTTCACCTTGGTGATCCTTTTAAAATAACTTAAAAAAATTAGAGATTTGAAGGGTTATTAGATTTTATTTGAAAGGATGGACAGAATAATGTGAAAAGATTCAATTTTTTAAACAGGAATAGTAAAAATACTGGCAAGAATGGCTGTTTAACATCTCATATTACAATCTTTATGTGAGCTCAAATAATTTTTCCCCAAGAATCTGTGTTATAGCTCCTTTTCATTATTTTTACTCTGACTTTAATTGTCTGCAGGAAACTTCAAGGTATAATTAGAAAATACATGATTTAGTGCGATAAACAATAGATCAATACAACTTTAATTCTGAGTTACTTACAGTCCATAAGCAGAGTTTACAGCAAGACTGGTGATCTGTTGTGGAGGCTCACCATCCACCCACACCAGCTGAATAACAAGATCTGCTTGGTATCCAGGAGGCATTCGCACAGGTCGAGTCTTAACACTAAGAAGAGGAGGTAAAAATAAGAACAAACAAACAAACAGACTGGGCCATGAATAACAACTGCTTTTCTTGAGAAAACACTAGTGAAGCACAAGCCCTTAGTAAGCCCGGAGTAGTACCAGCACTTGCAGCATACTGTGCATATATTAGGCAGGGATATTTTCCAGTCAGGACAGGGATATTTTGGAGGAATTCCAGGTTTTTACTTTCATTTCTGTTGTAGAAACAAATCTGAAAACTTCAACTCCTACAGGAGAAAGTCTGGAGAAGATGCAGGTGGGTGGGGTCAATAAAAATAATTTTTACTTAATCATTTTGCTTTGATTTTTCTTTTTCAGAATATTTTCTTATGCTAGATAATGCACACTTAAAAAAATCATCATGAATAATCAACTTGAATGGAAAAGCTAAAATACTTTCCTATGAAACTTTGCAACAGGACATTTTGCTATTTTTGGAACTTTCTTGCTCTGAAATAAAGCACGACAGAAAATGCGAAGAGGCTAAGATCATGCAAAGATGAGAAGATGAAACGTTCTGTAGTGGTCCTCACCATTGCATATTCAAAACTTATGGACTTGACAATTCTATTTCATAGAATCATAGAATGGTTTGGGTTGGAAGGGACCTTAAAGATCATCTAGTTCCAACCTTTCCTGCCATGGGCAGGGACACCTTCCACTAGATGAGGTTTGTGCAAAGCCCCATCCAACCTGGCCTTGAACCCTTCCAGGGAGGGGGCAGCCACCACTTCTCTGGGCAACCTGTTCCAGTGTCTCACCACCCGCACAGTAAAGAATTTCTTCCTATATCTGATCGAAATCTAACTTCTTTCAGTTTAAAATCATTAGCCCTTGTCCTATCACTGCACTCCCTGATAAAGAGTCCCTCCCCATCCTTCCTGTAGCCCCCTTTAAGTACTGGAAGGCTACTAGAAGGTCTCCCCGGAGCCTCCTCTTCTCCAGGATGGACAGGGCAGTGTTCCAGACCCCTGATTATCTTCGTGGCCTCCTCTGGACCCGCTCGAGCTGGTTTGTGTCCTTATTATGTTGGGGGCCCAAGAGCTGGACCCAGCACTGCAGGTGGGGTCTCACGAGAGTGGAGTAGAGGGGGTGAATCACCCCCCTCGACCTGCTGGCCACACTGCTCTTGATGTAGCCCAGGGTTCAGTTGGTTTTCTGGGATGCAAGTGCACATTGCTGGCTCATAGTCAGTTTTCCACCCACTACTACTCCCACGTCCTTCTCCGCAGGGCTGCTCTCAATCCACTCATTGCCCAGTCTGTATTTGTGCTGGGGATTGCCCCGATCCATGTGCAGGACCTTGCACTTGGCCCTGTTGAACCTCATGAGGTTTGCACAGGCCCCCCTCTCCAGCCTGTCAAGGCCCCTCTGGATGCCATCCCTGCCCTCCAGTGTGTTGACTGCACCACACAGCTGGGTGTCATCGGTGAACTTGCTGAGGGTGCACTCGATCCCACTGTCCATGTCACCAACTAAGATGTTAAACAGCACTGGTCCCGATACCAATCCCTGAGGAATGCCACTTGTCACTGGTCTCCACTTGGATATCGAGCCACTGACTACAACTTTTTGAGTGCGACCATCCAGACCATTCCTTATCCACGTAGTGGTCCATTCATCAAATCCATGTCTTGCCAATTTAGAGACAAGGATATTGTGTGGGACGGTGTCAAATTCTTTGCACAAGTTCAAGTAAGTGAAGTCAGTTGCTTGTCCCTTATCCACCAACTCTGTAAACCCATCGTAGAAGGCCACCAAATTCATCAGGCATGACTTGCCCCTAGTGAAGCCATGTTGGCTGTCACCAATCACCTCCTTATTTTCCATGTGCCCTACCATAGTTTCCAGGAGGATCCACTCCATGATCTTGCTGGGCACAGAGGGTGAGACTGACTGGCTTGTAGTTCACTGGGTATTCTTTTTTTTGCCTTTTAAAAATGGGGATTAAGTATCTCCTTTTCCAGGCAGCAGGAACTTTACCAGACTGCCACGACTTTTCAAATATGACAGATACTGGCTTGGCCACTTCATCTGCCAGTTCCCTCAGGATCTGCAGATGCATCTCATCAGGTCCCATGAACTTGTGCACCTTCAGGTTCCTTAGATGGTCTCAAACCTGATCTTCTCCTACAGTGGGTGGTTCTTCATTCTCCCAGTCCCTGCCTTTGCCTTCTATGTCTTAGTGTGGCTGGAGCCCTTTCTAGTGAAGACTGAGGCAAAAAAATCATTGAATACCTCAGCTTTCTCCATATCCCAGGTGACCAAGTTTTCTGTTTCCTTCCAGAGAAGACCTACACATTTTCTAGTCTTCCTTTTATCACTGATGTACCTGTAGAAGCTTTTCTTATTGTCCTTGATGTCCCTGGCCAGATTTAATTCTATCAGGGCTTTGGCCTCCCTAACTTGGTCCCTGGCTACTCAGACAGTTTCTCCATATTCTTCCTAGGCTACTAGTCCTTGCTTCCACCTCCCTTAGACTTCCTTTTTTGTGTTTGAGCTTGTCCAGGAGCTCCTTGTTCATCCATGCAGGCCTCCTGGCGTACTTACCTGACTTCCTCTTTGTTTGGATGCATTGCTCCTGAGCTTTGAAGAGGTGATCTTTGAATAACAACCAGCTTTCTTGGGCCCCTTTTCCATCCAGGTCTTCATCCCATGCTACACTGCCAAGCAGATCTCTGAAGAGGCCAAAGTCTGCTCTCCTGAAGTCCAGGGTAGAGAGCTGGCTGCGCTCCTTCCTCGCTGCCCTAAAGATCTTGAACTCCACCATGGTCACTGCAGCCAAGGCTGACCTTGAGCTTCACACCCCCCACCAGCCCCTCCTTGCTGGTGAGAACAAGGTCCAGCATAGCACCTCTCCTCGTTGGCTCCTCTACCACTTGGAGAAGGAAGTTATCATAATTTGTCCATTTAGTGCAAACAAGTCCTGTTTTCTTCTTAGGAGTATAATCACCTAATATGTAATCTGGTCTTAATGAATGACTGCTTCCTACATAAAATCTTATGCAGTTATTAACATCTCTTCATACTCTGTTATGGAAAGTTCAGTGACCTGCAAAGCAGGCAGTCAAAGTGTACATATTAAGTGGGATTGTGTGACTGCTTTATGGGTGTTCTTGACTGGTAGAACTTAACATGATTGATACACTGAAAAAAGATACTATGCAATAATAGCAATATTTTGAGGCATTCATGTTATTCATTAGCACATTCACAGTGTAGGTAGTAATTTATATGTAAAGACTACTGGCCAGTGCACTGTAGCTGTAAATGGTGAGACTGCTTATATTGCACCCCTCTGCACACAGTCATAATAGTCTATCACATATAATCCTCCATCCCTGTGAAAAATAGTACCCAAAGACTAAAAATCAGGAGAGGAAGGGGAGTAGCTAGTTTATATAGACACGGACAACACATTCTGAAGAACTACAATTTTTGGCCCATATTTCTTTCTGGTGTAAGCACTTCTCTATATGTTTATCTCCACCATAAATAACTTAAGCAGTATTATCCTATGTACTGGATTTTAGAGATCGTTGATGACTCTGATGATGCAGACTATCTCCTGAATGTGACTATGACATGACACAGCAAGCTTTCCAAGTGGCCTTGGCCCATACACATTAAAAGATGATGGATCAGATTGGATAAAACCCAACTAATTTCTATTCAGAAGCAAATAAGTAAGCACATCTTTCAGGAAAGGATACTCAAACTTCTCATTCAATAACCAGGGCGCTCAGGATTTTGTAGTTACACTGACCACATCTGTTGAGATGGAGGCCTTGGTGGCAAATAGGGCTACCAGCAATCTTGGAAAATTGAACATAGATGCAGAAAACTGAAGTAAAATTAAGTAAAACATAACCATAGAATGCCACCAGGGCAAAAGCGCTGAACAAGCTAACTCCTGTAGCACAATGGACAATGTACAAAACAAACAGTGTTCTAATCTTGACAGAAGTTAAGAAGAGCAGAGGACTGTGCAATACTCCCACTTTTATGGTCTGATATAGAGCATGAGAAAAGACTGGACATGGATGTACCTTATGACACAAAGAGAGAAAATCTCCAGCTCAGTGTTAGCAGTAGAAGCACTTGAAGATACTTTTTTTGAAAAGTTTTTAAAGCATAAGGACTATTTCTTAATAAGACCGTAATATCTGAGTGGGTTAACCTCGGCTGGCTGCCAGATGTTCACCCAGTGGCTGTCTCACTCTTTCTCATCAATAGGACAGGGGAAGAACATAAGATGAAATACTCATGAGTTGAAATAGGACAAGGTGATCACATACCAATTACTGTCAATGGGCAAAACATGGGGAAAATTAATTTAATCTATTGCCAATTAAAAAGAGAGTAGAAAAGTGAAAAATTATTTGAAAAGAAAAAACTAAAAATACCCTCTCCCCACCCCTCCCTTCTTTCCAGGCTCAACTTCACTTCCGACTCCCCTACCTCCTTCCCCACCCCAAGCAGCACAGCAGGGATGGGAAATGGTGGTTGTGGTCAGTTCATAACACTCCGTGTCTGCCACTCATTCTTCACACGTTTCCCCTGCTCCACTGTGGGGTCCCTCCCGAGAGGTACAGTCCTTCGGGAACAGGCTGCTCCAGTGCGGGTCCCTCACAGGCCACAGTTCTTCCCAGCAAATCTGCTCCTGAGTAGGCTCCTCTCCATGGGTTTCAGCTCTTGCCAGGAGCCTTCTCCAATGTGGGCTCTCCGTGGGGACAACCTGCATCACCATGGTCTCCTCCACAGGCTGCTCCGGTGCCTGGAGCACCTCCTCCCCCTCCTCCTTCTCTCACCTTGGTGTCTGCAGGACTGTTTCTTTTTTTCTTGCCTCTCTCTCTCACAGCTCCTGAGCAGCCTATTCTGCCCTTCCTTAAATTTGCTTTCCCAGCGGCGTCACCCTCATGGCTGAGGGGCCCAGCCATGCTCTGCAGTGGGTCAGTCGGAGCTGGCTGGAACTGTCTGTGTCCAGCACAGGGCAGCTCTGGCCTCTCCTCACAGAGCCTGCCCTACAGCCCCCGCTGCCTGGGCACCGGCACCTGCACCTGATACAACATCTTTGACATACTGCCTTTCCAAAATACATTCACACCTTGTCTTTAATTGTTTAACCATTTCAGTAATACAGTTCATGCAGCGCTGCTTATATTTTAATTGCAGAAAGTTCACTATCCTTGCCAAACCTTTCCCTTATTTTGTATTTAATGAGAAAGGCATTCCTCATCTATCTTCCTAAATGCATTTCCTTTAACAGTGGCTTGGCACATTATTCTATTTCTTTTGCCTGTCGTACTGTTCAGACCTTACATATCCATTTATCTGGAGCAGTAATCAGCCACTTGGCTCTGAGCTTGCCATAGGAAAGAGATGGCAACGCAGTTCAGCATGTGGGATGCTTTTTCCCATCCTCCTCTTCCTCCTTCCTGGCTGGGTGGGCAGCTGGCAGCCGGCCAAGGTCAGCCGACCACAGTCGGCAATGGATTTGTATTGTTTGCTATTAACAGCAAACCTCTGCTCAAATTTTTGTGCCTTCTTACCTGTTTTGCTGGCCCTAAAGCTTTGCCCTTTCCTTTGTTCATAAGATACATTATCCATAAGCATTTCTGAAGTGGCACTATCCATAAGCTTAATGAAGCCCTTCATTACCCAGAAGTATTTGTGGCGAGAACAAAGGGACGAACATCTGTGAACTCAAGCTGCTAAGGGAGAGGGGCCTTTTGAGACCAGGGAAAACTGAAACTACAAGTAATAGTCGTATACAGTGAAGATGTATTCTTTGCAAACAAACTTCACAGCAAATAGAAACGGAATATTTTATACAAACAGTCCTCCAGAGTGTCTTTGTGATGGGGCCCTTCCACTTCTTATGTCTGTGAATAAGCCTTTAAGAGGCATACTAGTGGTGGTGTTTCCATCTTGCACCCCATTTTCTGTTTTCTGCTCCTGCCCTTAAAAAATATAAAACAGGTAAATGAGATCCAAGAAGTAAGACTTAAGTCTAATTCCTTTTCAGCTAAACAAACATATTTTCCATCCATTTTTTCTAATGGATAACTGATGATGTGAGGGAATACGAGTCATGCTGCTATGGTGAGTTCCAACAAATATCAGCTGAGGCAATGCGTTTATCCTTCTCTTCTTCTACACAAATTACCATGAGACTTACAATGGCTGCAGAATTAATTCTGATCTTCTAAAATAAGGGTTTTTTCTGATATTTTTTTTTTCAATGTGTTTTTAACAACATGCTGAAAAAATTAGAGAACTTGAAGTGCCTTTTAAGTTTTCTTTCAGATTGTTGTTACCTGAACAAAAAAAGCAAACACCTTTCTTTCTCTATTTTTCACTGAAAATTTGAGGATCTTCTTTGGTAGGATGGATGTTATTTCACAGGGATTCTTCTCCAAGCATAGAATAAGTGGTAGTTTGCGAAAGACTGCCAGACTGGAGAAAAACAGTTTCAGCTTTCATGATTCAGTTTGTCATTTCCATGTTTCGGTGACACTTTCCTCTTTAAGGACGTTTGGGCTATTTCCCTGGTTTCACTAACCATCTTGCTTGAACATTAATGTTGATATTTCTTCTTCACCTTGTTTTGTACTGCTTTTTTGGAAGTGTTTATACTATAAGCCTAAACGGACTGCAGGAGTATGCCCAGAATGAATGAAGATATTTCAGTGATTTCCTAGACGTGTTCTTGTTATGCTACACTGAATTGGATTGTTGCAAAGTTTTGGTTTTTAGTTTTCTTCATGAGATAATCACAGTTCTTTATAATTTTGGAGCTACTTGGAGCTACTGTCAAAACCTTTGATTGATCTCATTTTGGGATGATACTAAAAGTCTGGGAACAAAGACTTATATCCTGGGTACAGCTTTTTGGTGATGGTATTTACATCAAAAATATTTATCTGCCTAATCACAAATACATCAGTTTCTTATGTTATTATAGCTGTATATTTAATTATAAAATCTTCTTAAATAAGCAAGAACAATATTTATTCCACACTGCTGCTTGCCTCTCTTGGTAACATGTAATTTTGATTTCGGAAAAAATGCCACATTTTCATTACTTCAGCCCCTTCAATCACTTCCTTTCTAGTACCTATTCACAGACACAAACACATTCAGTCATTCTGACTTCTCACTAGCAGAAATTATGTAGTGTGGATTGCCACCCATTTGCTGTAACAAGGTTGAGAAGCAGACATGAAAATAAATACAATGGAGCCAAGATTAAAAGTGAGTATGTATATAAAATTTTATGTGGATTATCAATATAGTTCAAGTTTTGCACTCACTCACCTTCCATGTGTAGGTGGCTGCAGCTTTATGTTACTATCACTGTATCTTAGATTCTGTACTGCTGCCCACCTTAATGACTTGCATATAAAGTCAACAGCATCATCCAAGTCTCTACTGGGGTTTCTGTGTTTCCAGCAATACTTTCATTTTATCATCATAATTCTGCTTAGAACAGAAGTTTTTTCACAGCCAAGGAATGTTGACCCAGTTAGGATTTGGGGGAAAAGGGTAGATATTTATATGCCTTTCCCTATTGAAAAGGATGACAGTGTGCACAGTATACTTTTATATAAATGTAAGAGGAAGTATGCCAGCAGTTCTAGTGGTATAATGACTTTGACTTTGAAAAATCACTTATCTGTCAAAGTAAGCTTACATTTACTTTGTGTAAAATGGGACAAAAATCAGTTGGCCACCTTAATGTGAGACTATATGGAGTTAATCAGACTTCTAAAAACTAACCAGCAGAATCTCTACTGGTTCATTACAGCTTTTCTGCCTCCAAGATCAACAGCTCCTCACCTCCCCAGACCAAATCAAATAAGAATACCTTAAGGGAAAATCTTAGCCACTGAAATAATCGATTGCATTCTTGCTGGTTTCAATGTCACGAATAGATTTCACATTGAGATTTTTTTAATAATTTCTCTCTGCCTCTTCTATTGACTTTCATGGTTTACATTAATGATTAAACAGAGGTTTGAGGTTCAACTGCCTGACTGAATGAGGTGGACAAATGAACAGGATGCCAAAAATTACTGTTAATTTTATAAAAACAATGTCACAATATTGCTTTTAAATGCTAATGCTATTTTCAGGAGCTTAACAGCTCAAAGTATCTGCAAAATCAGGCAGTGTTCATTTAAACTGCTTTTGAAATAATTCAGGCATTTAAAATATTTAATAACAATTAGAGTGAAATAATAATGAATTCACTAAAATGAGAGCAATTTCTGTCAGCAATGTACTATAATTGCTGGAAAATTACAGTTTATGGAGTTTTGTACAGAATTCTGTTTTGAAACTATTCAAACCCATGATGTATCTGCTTTATTAGTAAGAACATATTCATTTACTCCAAACAGCAGCAATATGCTCTCTAGCAGACAATAGTTTGCTTCTTTCTAAAAATTAAATATATATACGCTTCCACACAGTGCAACTGTTTCATAATTGTGTATTTTAAAGATTGCTTCATGAGTATGAACACAGTTTCCATTCCTTACACACCTTAAAATGCATATACTTCCTTCACAAATAAAGATTTTAGTGTTACACTAATTAATCAAGGAGGGAAAGCTTTGCACATGTCTGCTTTATGGAAATCTCTTTGTGAACTCAAAAAAAAAAAGTTCCTCAGAAATTCCTTGATTTATTCTGTAGTGCTTGTATTCCATTCAAAATTGTGGGTATGAGACGAAGAGTTACTCCTAGGTCATACTGGAAAATTACAGCAAAACCTTTACTGTAACAATTTATCTTCTCCATAATGACTTCTAGCCTTTAAAAATTCCCTGTCAATTATTTTGCATTAATTCTTTTGTTTGCTCCATATTCTGGTTTCTTCTCCTTTTGTGTTGCATACATACAATTAACCTTTTTCTTGACAGCTGATGGATTCTTAATATAACAGGTAGGAATGCTTTACAGAAAGATATATCTTTGAACAATGGCATAGACTTACCTAAGACATGGGATACTATCCTTCATTGTTCCTTCACATGCTACAGTGTTGGTACTGCCTGAAAGACTCTTTAAAGAAGGAAGCTGGGGTGAGGCATCTGGAAATGGAGGAATTATTTCTGGTTCAGGAGTAATGATATCTTCTACTTCATACTGAAGTCGTACCTCTAATGACTTAAATAAATAAAAAGATAAGTTATAATTAAATAAAGAAAGCTGCTGAAAGTTCTGTTACTTTCAAATAAATATCCGTAAACCTTTTTTTAAAAATAACCCCCCACATTTATCATTATCATTTGCAGGCAAACAATACTGCCATTTGTTATTTATACAGTCTAACAGTAACATCAGATAGGAACTATGCATCTACCCTATGCTGATGGAGAAATAGATAAGCATATTCCTCCAGTGCTGAGTTTGATTCAAGCCTTATATTGTAAGGAAAGCCTTTACAGAATTTTTTATGAAAAAAGAATTTAATCACTCACCCCCAAATAAATAATATTTTGGCATAAGAAGGCATCATTCAGGATAAATGTCATGAAAATTTTCTGCCTATTGTCTGTTCCCTTTTTCCTAAGCAAATTAATTGTAAGAATGGTCATCAACTCTGACTCCTTATTGCTCGTACAACCGAGTCTCTACAAGACAAGTTTTAGCCAGTGTGCAGATGCCGGACAGAGTGGGTAGTACTGATGAATGAACTTTGTTTGTCCACAGGTGGGGGGGTCAGGAAATCAGAGGTACCAGCACAGAGAGTTTTGTGTACCTGAGACTGAGCATGAGTTTGGTGGGTTCTAGAAAGCAAAGTTCAAAACAATTACTTTTTGCCTTCCTTCTGGACTCTCTAGATAGGGAAAAGGAGACCAACCAGGCCTAACCACCCTTCAGTTCTTTTCACTAATTCAGGAAACCTTAACTGAAAGACTCCAAAATGCAGGGGAAACTGGACAAGGAGCTCAAACCTATATAAATAATAATCTCAAAGAATCACAGTAAATATTGGGCAATTTCTTCTATCTCATGAATTGTCCAAAGAGATTCTCATTTTGAAAAGACTAAAACCCAAGGTATAGCCCTCAAAGAGTTAAGGGTTTACTAGATGAATAGTAATTTCGGTGCTGGTATTTTGAAGTGATCAGAAGCAATTGCAGATACAGTCATTGCAAACTCCATCTTACTGATCATCTCTCACTGAGACAACATCTGTACCAGAATGGAGATTAAGAAAATACCCAAGTTTTATGAGAATTGGGAGATAAAGATAAGTACTGAAGGCTCTCCTATTTCTCAACCATTGCATTAAAACACATAAGATTCCAGAAACAAGTGATTCTGCTCAAACAGAAGTGAAAGGGTCCTTTCTCAAAATTTCACTTTTGTTTTGTCCTTGCAAAATCCATGAATATTTTTTGCCTGAATCGGCTAAAGAAACCTATGGACAACATTCGCCTTCAAAGACTAATGAATGAAATATTGAGTTCAGGAAAATCTGATCTCCTGGAAGTAATTGCTGCTGATCGAGACAATTTATAATGCTGTTTAATCTCCATGAAGGACTGGAGTAACTGTTGAAGAGTATGTTCTGCTGCTTGCCATGTTAGAAGTACACAGTTCTTCTTTGGATATTATTCTTCGTGTCTTCTTTTTTCTACTACAATTAATTTTGTTAAATTCCAGCTAGCGTCCATTTGCTGAGAGAAGGAAAAATTTAGGCTAATAACATGACTGATTTTTTTAATGTTTGGTTCCCTGCTTTGACTGAGCCTTGGAATGGATACAGACCTGTTGTACCAATTTATTTTGACACACTGTAAAGATCTTTTTGGAGGATCACATTATTAGGCTCATTGACTCTCCCTTCTACTTTCAAACTAGTGTAAACTTTTTTCCTATGGTTCTTCACAAGAGCTTTGAAGAGGAGCTTCACTGAGGAAAGACTGATCACTGAGAAAGTGATCATGACCAATAGATACCTACAGATCCTTTTTAGACAGGATGGAGTAGATTCAAATGAGAAAATAACAACAGCAGCAAATACTTTTCATGTAACTGCACGGCAATGACTCCAAGGTTGGATATGAAGCAGAATTTGTCTCATGCATACTACTTGACTCCAGAATGTGATATGGAAAGATGCAAACAATACTTTTATTGAAGAAATCCCAGGCACAGCCTATGCCTCTATGGCATACTGAGCAGCGGAATTCCCTGCTACATGGAAAAATCTTTGAGTAGTCTCCATGCTTCCCATTGACCACAGCAATAAGACTGTAAGACTGACATCAGGCAGCCAAACCAACATGGGGTCCTGAGAATGCTTGGATTTGTAGATTGAATTCAAGGTGAGTTCAGGTTGGCTGGTAGAGAAGGGAGGACACTAAGTGCTAGAACTTGGGCTCACCTCAGGCGGCAAAGAAATCCTGAGACTGACCAGCTCAGTCTCAGTATAGACAAAGCCAGACAGCCTAAGTCAGGTACATATTCCAAAAAAGACTCTCATCCTTTTTAATAAAAAACCCCCACCATTTAAGAGTGAAGGCTTGAATGCCTGCAGCAAAAACATGGAAATCAAGAGATGAAGCCCATCTCAGGGATGTACAAAACCCAGGGGAACTCAGTGACTTTTTCACCAAAATTAGATAATATTAAAGCAACTCTTCAGAGAACAAGTCCTCATATAAATGCTTCTTAATTACAGATGAAATCTGAGAAGCTGTAGAATTGCACATATTATAACACTTTATAAAATACCAGTTCTGATGGAATTCAGCTACAGAAGACAGGAAAATAAAGAAATTAAATGATAGGTTATAAAAGATAAGGTGCATTTGCTATGGAACAATGTAGGAATACTGAAATGTAGCAATTTTAGCAGCATTGTATGTGAGCTGGACAGTAATGTGAATGTATTGTTCATCAGTTTTAAAACTTTCCTGAAAGGATACATTCAGCTAGCTTAATAATTGCCTCTGGGGGAAAAAAAAATGAGAGGAAAACAACAGAACAGCTATAGGTAATGAATTTCCTTACCAGATGGCACATGGCTACAGGCCAAAAATGACACATGTTTTTGCCAGGCTAGAACTACAGACTTTCTAAAGTACATTAAAATAGTATGAAAAGGAAAAGAACTGTAATTGGGAAAGGTTGAAAATGAAAGGGAAATTTTGGGTCAGCCCCTGGAGTGTTGAGAACTGGCCGACGCAAAGAAATACCTTCTGGCAAGAGAGTGTTTGGAGTTGCAAACTGTTCTCTAGAACCAGAGAATGGCAAGCCTGAAGGAGAGGCAGTCATGTTTAGATTGGCTTTGCCTTAAGAGTAGTCTCCTGTTATACTTCTTAGGCTTAAGGATGAATGTTTTACATTATAAATGCTGTTCAGCCACACTGTTAGCAGTGGTTGTGGCTCCTGTGCAAAAATGCAAGGTTTAAATCAAAGTCAGGCTTTCTGTACAACAATGATAAGTGCAAGGTGACTGCAGTGCAGTTAAAAGAACATGAACTGTATGATTCTATCTGAAATAAGGTGAGTGCTTAAGACATGAAGACAGAAAAATGAGTATTTGAACAGGATAAAGCAACAGAAATCTTAGGAAAATATCAAGTGCTTAGCCATAAATAATCTGGCATTTCATATAGTGTCCATTTTGGGGGAAAAAAAATCAGCATAAGCCAGAAAAAAAATCAACTCTATTTTGTTAAAGCCAGTGATCATTTTCAGTCCCCTTGTGGTACAAACACTCTGAACATAAATTGAAGAGATTAAACACTTGAGTTTAAAAGGGCATTATTATGTATGTACACGATGTACATTATCTGATAAAAAACATACAGCAGCCAGTATTTTTAGAGCAGGTAAGTACAACAGAAATTTATTGTATCATAAAGTCTTAAAAGCAAACTATATCTGAAATCTGTGCTGTATGTTACTATTAAAGCAAAAAAGTAGAGAGTTGGCTCCCAAAAACTCAGATTTTTGTCACTAACTTAAGTAGGATCAAGATTTCACTCAAAAGATTTAAAATGGATTGTCCCTAAATCTATATTTATACAGCTTGATATCGATATTATATAAGTATATGAGCACAGACACAGCAAGGCAATTTGATTCAGAAATTACGTTCTTTTATAAGAGAGTAAAATTCTGAAGGACTTACTGCAATTTCCGTATTTACTTCATGTTTGCTGAACCTGTAAACAACCACATATGCAGAAACTCCTGCCACACAGAAAATTCGGCTTTCAGGACACCAGTACATCATCTGAACAGCAAAAGGATCTTCTTCCACAATCTCAGCTGTTGCTTTTCCTTCTCCTGGTTTCTGTTTTTCAAAGACCTTTGATGTTTTTAATTTGTACAACATCTGTAGGGTAACTGGAATATATTAAAACATACAAAAAATCAAGCAAATCAGTTATAAAATTCCTTGCTTCCCATTTTCTTTTCAGTTGTGGCATAACAAAGAATCTTATGAAGGCCTAAGAGCAGAAGATGATGGATATTATACAATACCAATATTATTCTAGTACACAGTACTGGTAGGATATGTATTTAATGCTTTCAAAAATAGATATTTTTCTGTGAAATATTTTTTAGTACTTTCTGGGACAGGTTGTCAAAGGTCTTTGTTAACTATGATTCCATAATTATACTTAATGTTATGGAGTGGTTCTGATAACACTGCTATTTTCCTAATGAGATGTGAAACTAAGACTTGATTTACCTGAGGTCAGCATCTTGCTAGAATGTAAAGATTGTATGGCACTTCAGGAGAAAACTTTAGGAAAGTATTATGGTGGCCTGGGCAACACAAAGACTTTCTAAACAAACAGGAGTTCTAAAATGTTCTGAGTTCTTGACTAATAAGTATATCTGTATTTATACCTGTATATAAAACCTTAATATCCAGAAGACTGTGTCAAGACGACCTCCACTGCAGTGAATGCTGGAGGTAAAGGAGGGGTTATAATTAACCTCATTGTGTTTTATTGACACTCCTCCCTGTTTTTTACTATTCTTGTATAATTTATAAGTGGCATTAATTAGTAACTGCATAAGGTCAGAAAAAGTCAGTCAGTCCCAGCACCTACAAAGGTGTGTATATACATAAAGGCAAAGCTGTTACGTATGTTACTGTAATTGTGGTAGATCAGTCTAGCTAGCTTGTGTAACAAGAACAACAAAAAGATGAAAGAAGGATGTTTTAGTTCTGTAACTGCATGATGAACACTGCAAAGTTACATTTTCATTTTGCAGTGCAGAGATATTCCAGAAGTTTTAGCATATTCTTTTATTATATTTTTAAAAGTTTTAACATATAAAACGCTACCAAATTTTCACAAATTTCAGCAAGTGCTTCTGTAATGAATACATAATTCTTCCTGCCTTTTGTGGTCATGGAAGAGGCTTCAGAATGCCCCTAGTCCCAGTGGCAAATCTAGAGTGGCACTTCAAATCAGACATCATGGGTCCGTGTATATTCTGACAGGAACGATTGCAGAATCATAGGGCACAAGCACAAGGCTACTCTCTGTACCTCTGGGAATTACTAGGGACCATCTGCACAAGGGCAAATAAGAAATAGCAATGGCTTTTGAGCAAAGATACATTTGGAAAACTGCTTCAGTAGTTTAGCAATTCCCTGGCTCCCACAAATCTGTGTTTTCAGGTACAAAATTAAACAATTAAAACATGTCTAAAAGCCAAGTATTTTGTGCCTTCAAATACCGGTAGGATAATATTTTTGCTATGAAATCTCAGATGAAATTTGGACTCTATTAAAGAAGTTAAGACCTTGAAAATAATAAAACTGTAATAATTAAAACCTTGTAAAAAAAAAGTACCAAGTACAGTACCAGTAACACAGTGCATGCCCTGAAAAGCAGGACTAAACCCAGGACATCAGAGATGCACTGGAAGTACCATTACTGTTGAATGGATTGTGAATATTCATGATCATCTAAACTTTTACCTTTAAGAAAAATTCCTGTTGGAGCATGTACATACTGAGTAGTGGGTTATATTTATATTCCCTATAAAAAGTTTCTTCCTTTCCCCAATCCTGCCAGAATTATAGAAGAAATTACTAGCACACTGGTTCCTGTGCAGTATATACGCTAAATGCTTTGAGGTCTTGCAAGAGTCTATATTGTTTCATTCTAACTTTAATGCCTGTATTTGCACATTCTTCTTAAGAGCCTAAGTACACAATGAAATATGAACAAGACAAGGTCTAATGCCTCACATTACTTCTCTGAAAAAAAGTCATTATCCTACTTTTGCTCATATTGAAGCTCTCTCAAACTTCTGTCTTTGCAGATAAACTCTTGTTGATCTCATTTGATTCTTTCTTTTTTTTTGTCCACCATAACCTGAAAATACTGGAAGATGCAAACTCTAAGTAGCATGTATCAGTTTTTCCTCCATTTTCAAATAGACAGATTATATAATAAAAAAATCAACTCATAGTTATGTTCAGCTGACATGCCTATGTAAAATTCCTTTGTGAAATGAGGCTTTAGATGCTAATTTTCTTCTTGTCCATCCTGATGAGTGAAAATATCTGGTATTAGGCAAAAAGAGAACTACCTGACAAAGTCCTCAGTTTTAGCTGACATTAAAATCTTGTAAATATTCCCCATATTTGCTTGTAAATGGTAGCAGTATTCTGTGGCATAATGTGGAACTAGCAGCTAAAGTATCACATGATCCATGTTCTTGGTGACCATTACAGACTCATTATGAGGGTTGAATCAAATCTCTCTATGCCTAACATTTCACACAGAAGTTTCTTTCATACTCTCTTTTCTTTAAGGGACTGATACCTCATAAAAGAGATATTCTACCTAGACATCCCCATACCACAGAAGAGACCGAATACAAGGTAACTCTACTTCAAGTTTTGTGACACACAGTCACGTTATTTGAACCAGAATATTTTAGCTTTCAACCAAAACATATGTATATTTTTAATAAATGTATTTTACTAACAAGTACCATATGTATTTTCTGTAGGGGAAAATGCTGGGTTTTTATATGTGTAGTTATAGCTAGAATACATGGAACAGGCATTTTCTGAAGCATTTTCCCGCTAGGATGAATGAAAATGCTTCCCAATTATTTCCTGGATCTTGAGTCTGGACAAGAAAAGATTTAGGTCTTCTCCACCCTTACCAGATTAGACATGTGCTGAGATACATTATTGTATTTTAATATTTTACTTAGCTGTAAAAAAGACTATACTGTACTCAGAACAGAAGAAACATCACAACTGGAACTGAACATTAGATCTAACTGAGCCCAACTCTTTTATACACACAAGAAGATTATGGCCTAGGGATTTTTTACCAACACTTCATCCTTCATAGGTTTTGATATGTTCTATCTGGAATTTTTGTTCCACTTAAAGACTTTCACACTTTTATGGCTAGCATATGTCATTAGCTGCGTTTTTATCCCCAATTTAATAAAAATTTGCTTAATTTCACCTCATTATTCCTGATTATATCATCCCAGGTATTACTACTCATACTGTTAAATATCATGTTATATATATGTGTGTGTGTGATTTGTCAGCATTATATAAAAGTGAACTTTAGAAACTTACTGGCAGAAGCATCCCAAAACTTTACTGATCCATCTGCATGGCTTAAAAAAAAATATAAAAATTAAACATGTTAAAACAAGATGCAATTCTAAAACATCTATTTTCAATGAGTGATAAATATAGGCAGAAAAACTGTATTTTGCTCATGTGGTAACTCTCCATACCTTACTGACAACATATAATGATATACATACTAACTATAAGAAAATATTTTGTTATTAGTTTGACTAGATTAATAAAACACTTTTTAATGCACTTCCTACAGGGAATTAAACCCCAAATGAATTTTAAGATCGCAACAGCAAGAATTAATTCCCATACTAATGGCAAGTTTAAGTTATAGCACTTCTGACTTTGCAGTGGGCAAGCATCAAGCTTATGCACTCGAAAAATGCCATGTATGATGAACTCTGAAAGGACAGAGGATAACTTGATTTTGCTTAATACCTTACAGCTGTGTTCTTTTTATTAACATAAAATCAGCCCTCAAGTAAAGCTGGAGAAAGGAGACATTTCTGTTTAAAATATGAATAATACCATCATCACCTTATTGGTACTACTGCACACATCGTAAACTTATTTTTCAAAAGAGGTGTTAAGTATCAACGATAATAACAATTTATCAAATATATTGCTATCATTAGCATGGCTGAGACCAGAGGGAAACAGAGAGTGCACCACAGCTGAATAGCTTCTATTTTGCAGCTTGGTCTCTTGAAAATCCATCAGGCATTGCTCATGGGGCTTCTACTGCAATCTGAGCCCTTCTATGCCTTTTTGCTATCGGGCTGTCTCTGCACTCACGAGGTGAAATTCATCCCAGTGCACCACACCCTCATTAATGCTGGGGTATTAAAATGAATTCCCAAACTATCTCCAGATACAAATTCCCCAGAAGGCCAAAGGACAACAGCTATAGAAGATCAGCTGCTCCCCTTTTTAAAGCTATTCTCTATGCCCTTCAAGACCAAAATATTTTCTTGCAATGGATTCTCCTTTCCAAAGACCCTACCTTTGTAAATATATAGACTTTCTGTCTAACACTGGGGTCTCAAATGGTAATTCTTAATGGTAACTCATCCCCGAGTACAAAGTTCTATTTTCTACAGTAAATGGAAATTTCTGAGGTGACTCTGCACAAGGGAAAAAACTACATACCTCAAACGAAGAGGCCAGGATATGCATACTCTATGAAGGGTCAACTGTTATCTATAGCTAACCCACAATCAGAAGCAGTAGATACTAACATTTTTACACTACCAATCCTCAGTTTCATTCTCACCCTGTAATAATGATTTCGGGATATGTCTGAGCTCCAAGGTTCCATGCTCCACCACTGATAGGCCACTCCTAAACAAACAACGAGAGTACAGAGATTACAACTAATTCTGATGAATCTTGCTTGGTTAATGTCTACTCAGGAGTAGACAGCATTTTCCTCCAAAAAGCAACACAACTCACAAAAGGAACAAAAATGTGTAGCATTCAAGTCTTTTAAAGCTTATTAACATTTTTATGTTATCAATGAAGGCTTTTTAAAGTTAATAACATTTTTATGTTTTCAAAGTTCTGTTTTTAAAATATTTCTGTACAGCTAACACTCAACCATCCAAAATACTAACTAGAAGAAGGAGTAATAAACAGCTCTGCTACTCTTTTCGGACTACTTGACTCTTGGTGTTTCTATAGGACACTGAATAGACTGAGAATCTATTTTGATGATGAAGACTACTGAAGAAGTCCCAGAAATGAATATCTGAGCATGATGTCACGACATGAGATAAGGGAATGCAACTTTTACAGAACATAGGAAATTATCATCTCTTCTCTGCCTTTTGTTCACTGGTGGCAAGACTCCCATTCTCTTCCTTGGTTTAGGCTGGTAGAGCAAAATGCTGGTCTGTGCCTAAAGCTTGACATGTATGGATACAGGATACAACACGTGGAGGAAGACATATGTGCAGGGTGGGTGAGGATGCATGCCGAGTGTGAGCGGGTGGAAAAACTCTGGGAGCACAAACTGTTTATGTGGATACATGGAGCGGATGCTTGTGGGTACAGAAATGGGTGGGTGGCAAATGAGTGACTACCTACATTCAGAGCGTATATTTGTATGTGCACAAATAAAGTAAGGGGACAAGAGAGTGTGCAATGAATACTGGCAGGTGGTGAAAAGTTTGGGAAACTATGTGTGTGATGTAAGGACAGCTAAGCAGTCAAATTCAAATCAGAGAAAAAAAAAATTTTTTTTAAGTACTTTGCTGAATCAAAATCCAGAAGTAGTAGATACGGCCCAGTTTCTCAGTTCATGAAAAACAAGGCAGCTCCAAGGAGAACAGTTCTGTTAATATGAATAGAAAACTGATGATGCCTGATGTGCTTACCCAATATGTTTTCCAAATAATTCATTACTATGGATTAGTTCTAGTCAAAACATAAAGCAGATTAATGCTTGAAATTTATAATATAATTGCATTTCCTCTTTTTATTTCAGCAGCTTCTCCTCTTTCTAAAAGTATTACGTTAAGACTTCAGTAGCTCAGTAAAATAATTATTAATATCCCTGTTTAATAAAAATCTCACAGACATGATGTCAGTCTTCAACTTTTACTGAAGGTCTTCCACTAACTTCTTTCAGTTAGGGTGTTTTAACTTTTTTCTTTGATAGAGATAACTTATCCATGCAAATATGAATGGTACACTGATGGTTTTCCTTTAACTCAATTTTACCTGGCATAACTCTAGCAGCTTAATGATTAAGTGCTATATAATGGTCATTAATGGTTGTGCTTCAGTGATGATGTTTCTGAGGGACAAATACCAGGCTGTAAGCAAGCTGCTAAGTTGCTGGTTGGACCAACATGAAAGCAATTATTAAAGAAGTAAAATGAAAATAATTTGGCAAGATGTTACAAAAACATAGGTTGTACATCTACTTTGTTTAAACAGAAAATATTGGGTTTGTTTACCTTATTGCTGTATCCTTGCTTTTTATGTTTTGCTCCTACAGAATAGAGTACAGGAATCAAATCTGGAGGACAGTCCGCGAAATATTCTGTGCAGGTAACAGGTGACTCATGAATGTCAATAGGGTATGGATTTTCAAAGATTGGAAAACTAGTTAAGGAAGACAATTTATTAGAAGCACTGTGACACACTGAGCCATAGAAGAAAACATACTCTTATCTTAAAGTGTTTAACAGAATCTGAGCAAAAGCATTACTAATAAAGTACATTTTCCTTTATGTATTCAAACATATGCATTGTTTTTAATGTCAATAATAATGTGTAGTTACTCAAATAAAGATACAAAAATTCCACTGCTGTGACAAGAATTGACTTGTAACGTAAGTACCCATTCCTGTGAATAGTTCCTAAGGCTAATAGGACTACTTGGGTGAATGAAGGTTAGGAACTAATTTCTCCTAATGTCTCAAAACCTTATTTATACAGGCGACACATTTTCTAGATGCTTCAGGTTCATGGCTATGACACATACTATGACCTAAGAACTACTTATACAACTGTGAATTTTATATCAAGCAGCTTAGCTTACTGGGTTGGTAGACTACTGATTCCACAATGAACAATTGCAGTAACAGATAAATTAGATCTCGGTTTATTTCTCACTTCCATCAGTTTGGATGGTCTGATAAGAAGGAAGGCCTCACTTCCGGCATATTACACAATGCTATTCACAATTCAAAAATGTGGAAATTTGGTTCTGATTTCAGTTACATCCATTTTATATTGCTGAGATGATTTCAATTATTCTTGAAAGTAAGTGAGATCAGAGTATGATTCACTTAAAATGTTTCAAGACATTAAGGGCAAAATCTGTTCCCAGTTATACCAGTGTAAATGTGGATGTACATTACAGTGTAAATGTGGATGTAGTGTTGGAGGCAGAAGAAAATAAGTAAGAATTGAATTCTACATTACATGATGTATACTTCTTCTTTGATATAAACATTGATTCTGATGTGAAAGAACTATTTATCATTTAAACCAGCAACCAGATCATGAAACAACCCTGTAGATCCACTATAAATCAATGCCATTATTTATTAAGATACTCAGGTAAATACTTAAGTAGTAGCCCCTGTGGAGTCTAGTGAAGTTAGGCATGTATATAAGTAGTAGTTGAATCTGTTTTCCAAAACACACATGCACGTCATAATCCAGTATGTGACCAAATGTTACTTAACTTTGAAGTTGAGTGAATGTTTGAGGGCTATGCTGAAAGGACCACAGATTTAGATTCATTCCCAAATTTAAGAACAAATATTATCATAAATTCCTGTTGATGAAACAATCTTAGCTCTTAAGGTGGAAGTAAACATATAGAGTGAATTATTACCAAGAGTAAATGATTTTGGGTAGTAAAATGACAATGCATGATAACATTTGGATTTTTATCATCATTTGCTAGGCAGTTAAGATACACAAATAACTTCATATAAGACATCATACTTACTTGCTTTGTGTCAGGTCAACAACAATGAGATCTTTTTCCAAAAGCACAACTACAGCATAGGGTTCTTGAAATTCTGTAAGTAAGGAATCAAGTATAAAAGAAGTGGAATTCTCCTATTAGTAATTTTAAACAAGCAAGTCATATTTACATTCTCTAAACATTCACAGTATACTAAAGGAAAGTTTTAAGGTACAAATCCTAGACACATCCACAAATTACACATATCTGCAAACTAGGGCCAAACAGGAAATGATAAATTACTTTTGGGCACTGTTGCTGATCAACATATCTGCAAACTAGGGTCAGATGAGGGCCAGAGAGGAACTGAGAAATGACTTTTGGGCAGTCTTGCTGATCAACATACATAGTAGAAATAGAATTGGCGCACCAGCATGACAGCATATTGAAAGTAAAGAAACAGAATATGAATAAGTTGAGTGTATCACTGCATTGCTGAATCCAATTATTATATAGAAAACGTATTTTTGCTGTCCAGCAGTAATCCTTCTCCTGTGTACAATTGTTCTTCAAAATCAGGTTGTGAACAGCTGGTCCAGTCCACTTGATGATACACAATGTCCTCATTTCCAAGGAAATTCCAAAGGAATATTCCAAAGGAATCCTGCAACTCTGCTGTGTTCAATTCAAATACTGACACGCTCCTTCTTCCTGTATACTCTTTAGGAGATTGTATAGTTCGTTTGTTTGTTTTTTTTATTTAATGCTTTTTTCATTTATCAAAAATAAACAATTAAAATGACAAATAAACCTTGATGCATAGGGTGCATTAGTTTACACAGGATAAGTTATTTTAAAAAATATAAATGTGAAATGACAACTCTGTTTTCAGTTGCAGCAAACCATTCCAGCAATGTACAAGCTCAGAGTACACTCTTGAGATGACTGATGTCAAAAGGCTGAGGAAATTGAGACTGATTTTCAGACCAGCTGCAAATGCACATTATTTGTCGCCTGTTTTAATACAAGGCTATGAATAACAGAGTAAATCAAAATCTTTAAGTATTAGTGTGAGAGCAGGGGAAAGGGCTAGAAGATCTTAGTACTGGGAAGTTTCACTGTATTTGACACAGTTAAATGAAGGCCCTAACTAACTGAAAATTAAATTTTGTTATGACATTGAAACAAGTATACACTTTATCTTTACTAAGTGTTTTTATTATGTATTTGATTTAGCTACATATACAGGATTTATTTTACTTTTCTATTTGAGGGCTTAAAATGCTAAACTTAGTTTCTTTTTGACTTACAGCTTTTCTTAATTCATTTTCTGGAGTTTTCTGTGAACGTACATCAGAATTTGGCAGCCCCACAATATGCAGCAAAACACTTTCAACAGTTCAAATCAGGGTGAAGTGTAAGACCTTTTTTGCAGATAAGTGATAGTTTAATCTTCAATAATTTAGCAATCCGTAGATTTCCAGCCTCATGGAAAATGACAGAAATATAAGCACATACGTTTGATTAACGGCAATATTTCCTCACAGTAGCCCATGTGTTTCAAGCTTATATCTGGAGATTTATGTGTGCTTTACTGTCTACTCATTACTTGCTTCCTATATTGAGAATGCAAACAAGTCCCAGTTACTTTCAGTAATGTGGTTTTCTTGATATGAAGAAAACTGTGAGAATGGAAGTCCCCAGAATGGAATTAACGTATGAGAGAAGATCACTTCATTTATATTTTCCATAATTATGTTTTGCTTAATAAACTTACCATTTGGATATGGAGTTTCACAAAGAGTTAAAAAATCAACTATAGGGTGATCCATTTCAAGAACTGTAATTGCTTTCCCATGCATGATTGTTAAACTTGGTCTTCGACAAGCCTTATCATATGACAGTCCACCAGAAAATATCACAAAAGGTTCACTGTATTAAAAAACCCAACATATTAATTATAAGTTTACCTAGTACATACAAGTTTACCTTATAGGTTTAGTACCTTTAAATAACAATAAATAGCTTTGCAAAAAGAAAGTGGGAAAGATTCTAAAAGGATTTTAACTCAGGAGCATAACATTGAGATAATTACAGAATTGAAAACATACCTGTTTTTACAGGTCTTGTACTCTACTTTAAGAATTGGTTTACAAGATTCAGGTTTTTTCCCATCTCTCTGAATTTTTCCTAAGGCAAGAAAGAAGGTGAAAACTGTAGTAAAAAATAATGATAACAGAACCATCAAACTAAAACATACACATTGAAGCAACTGTATAAGCAGTAAGAGAATGGAATTTTAAAGCTACAGAAGATGATGAGTATTAGCTCCTATTTTCATAAAATATGCATTTGTCTAAATTATTTACATTTATTATGGCTTTATGTTTTTACTGCCACATACATCTAAAGAACCACAGATCACACTTCAAAGACATTTAAAAGCTATGCAGATTATTGGAAGGATGACACCTAACTAATAATTAATGAATTTGACCAAATGTACACCTTTTTTCTGAACACATGACCATAAACAGCTTATTTTTTTCCTAACTCATTCTTAGATTGACTCAAGTCCTTTTGTTAACAAAATGTTACATTCTCTGAAGTGTAACTAGTTGAGTGATAAAATTAAATTAAGCATACAGTTGAAATTCATGGGTTCTTATTTAATTACGGCTCAGTACTTCGAGTCAGAGAAAAGTCACTAGTAAAGAAAAAAATAACAATTTTGGGTTTGTTGCTTTGGAAAGCCCATGCTTACTTTCAACAAATTGGAGGATACAATGTAGATGGAGCCAGCCTGTACTCAGAGGTGCACAGTGACATGGTGGGAGGCAAAGGACTCAAGCTGTGACATGGGAAATTCTGGTTATACATTAGCAAAAAATGTTGTACCATGAGGGTCATTAAATACCAGAAGACATTGCCCAGAGAGGTTGTGCAATTTGTTGCTGAAGTGTTCAAGTGTCCAATACCAACTGGACACTGCCCTGTGCTAACTGACCTAATCAGGCCTGTTTTGAGCTGGGGGTTAGATTAGATGACCTCTCAGAGGTCCCTTCTGACATAAAGTATGATTCTGTGACTAAAAATGATAAAATAAAAGGAATTAGGAAATTTAAGAAAATGCTAAAGCTTTTCTGGGCTACATATATTTCACCTTCCCCTTCTTCCTCTTTCTTCACCCAGTCAGGCTTCTTGGTAATGCACTGATTTGCAAGAGAACCAATACCTTTTAACCTTATTTATAGGAAGCAATTGCATATAAAGTTCCGGGCATAAAAGGTACAGCCATTTCTTAATATGGCTCCTTTAAATTCTTCATTGCAGTGACTTGGGAAGCCTTGTACATCTCCATAACAAGCAGCACAGTGGCTTATACAAAATGTATCACTTCTTGTGAAAACTGCTCATACGAGCACTTAAGTACAAAATATAAAAGGAAGAAATGCAAAAATCCCATAGCCTGAAGGTGTCAAAGACCAGCAGTAGACTATTCAGATGAATTGGATAAAAGAGCAATATTAGAGCAGTATTAACCAGTAAGAGGTATTTATGACAGCAATTAAAAAAAAAAAAAAAGTTTGATCAAAATTGCTCTCTGATTTTTACAATATTTTTCAGCTACTTTGCAGATTAAAATATTTATGCAAGAAGCAACTCTGGATCTGGGCTACAATTAAAAGAAGACATAAACATAGATATTAGCAAACAGCATGGAGAATATTGTATTGCTTCTCAGTTATACAATTTAACTATCAAAATTACCATGTGGAATTGTGGTCTGGAATGGTCTGTTAGGACTTTTCAGATTCCATAGGGTCAAGCTGCCATCAGAGTGACTGCACATGAACTGTTTCCCTTCATGATGCCAAGCAACAGAATGAATAGCCTACAGAAATGAAAGAAGAACTTGAGACTGAAATAGAATACAGCGTTTACACTAATGATATTTTAAGGTATGACTTTGGATTACATTAATGTAATGGTATATCAACAGTTGGATGGTTCTTGTTTGTCTAAAGACCATTAACAGCACTTTTTAGTAACGAGTGGCTGTATCTACTGCTAGTCAAGGAAGACATTTCATTATAAATGCTGACATAACACAAGAACATAAGAAAGCCTGTAATTGAAGGAACAGAGTATTAAGGTAAAAGTATAAGAACAGGGGACATACAGTGTAATTGTAACACGTCTGGTAGCTCTCCTTAGAAGTATTTCATCTGGCAAACATACAGGGAATTCTGTGTAACAAGTTTTCCAGGTAACATACAACACATGCAGTCTTCCACAGAGGACTATTTAGGAAAAGTAGAAATAGTATTCTGTTCTTGAATAATTTCCACCCCCCACTATTAAATTTTGGAGCAAGTACACAGAAATCTGGGATGTTTAATATAAGAACAAGACTACTAAACAGACCAGGATTATTTAACTGATATAGGAAATCACCAAAACAATGATGTAAGATACTTTTGGAACAGATATTTCTTCAGAGAAGAGGAATATCACTCTCCTGTGTATTCAATGCAAATACATCATGATGAATGTTATATGTGCAAAAAAGCAACACTTCAAAAATTAATAGATCATTCTTAATATTTTGCGCATAATTAGTGGAACTGACTGAAAATATCCACAATTACATCAAAATAAAAAGGATAATTACATTAAAGCTGAAAGGATAATGGTGTAAGTCCTTCATTTTTCACTGGTATATGCTAGAAACTAACAAAAGCCATTTTCTGACAAAACAAAGTATTAATTCATTGTATACCACAGTTTCTCACGCACTCCTCTCAGAAGCACAAATTCACATAATTTTCTCTTGAATCTATTTCCCTTCCAGAAATGTTAGCTGCCAAATAGCAAAAACCACAATATGTTTTTGTGTAAATATAAATAAAAGGGACCCATTTTTGAATGCAGTTTAATAAATTTCCTATTTTGCAACCCAGGAAACACTAAGGCCCTGCACGCACTTACAACTGGCATATGGCCATTTACCTGATTTTTTCAAAACACTTTAAAATCATGCCTGGGTCTTCATAAGTCAGCATTGGAGTTGTTTATATCAATTTTGCTTAAGCTGAGAAGAAATAAACCTAAGTGCTACTGGTTACTGTTCAAAACTCCCTGTTGATCTTCCTCTTTTAAGAAGTATATTGACTGTTACGGTTGGTAACGGCTTATGGTCTGGGAGGAATATTGGAAGAAAACAACGAAAAGGCTGTGACCCTTTACCAAAACTTTACTTAGCTCCTGAGGCTGGACGGCATAGCCGCAAAGGAGCCTTTGCATTAAGATGACTCAGATGTTTTAACAGGAATCTGACATGCCTTGTGTATGATTGCTTTGCTATCACAGCAGTAAGTTAGTCATGCCAGTGAAGACTCAACAGAGCTAAACAAAGTGAACTCTAGATATTTATCTTCAAGTGACATAATGGGTGTCACTCAAACTTCTACCTACCAGAGGGGGGAGTGTGGCACACAATTCCTGTTAAAGACCCAGAAGATACCAAACTGTAACTGAAACAAGAAAAGACAGCACAGAAAGATGGTTCATACAGAGCACAATGCCACTGCTCGCAGGTAGTAAGAACCTTAGATCTGTGGGGAGCGCTGCTTCACTTGTCTATCCTCATGCAAATTAATTCTGACATGAGCTCACTCATGCTTGCTATCATGCCAAATTTTAATCTGCTTTTGATGTGTTATCACACATAGAAACATTTCGCATGGTTACAGTCTCTAACGGTGTCTGAGCAGGAGCTGGTAACTAGCAGCTGAAAATTGTACCAAGCTGCTTGTTAAACTGCCTCTCAGCTACTAGTTGCCACCTGCCAGCATAAACCTCCTGCTGAGTGGAGATGAGGCAGAATGCTCCTGTCACCGACAGCTGGCATAGCAGCAACTCGAACTCACCTGTTAGACTTTGCCCTGAAATGGGCAAGAAATACCTAGAATCACTTTTGGAGGTCTCATCTGGGAGTCATGACTAATACTGAAAGGCGGTACTGAACAAGTCCTGAATTCTCTCTGATAGAGTGTGTCTAGCATTCCGATCCACTTCTTTAGAATCCACACAAAAAAAGGAGCAGTTATTTGCTTAGAACAGGAGTTCATCATGGTGGGTGACTCATGTGAATGTTCACACAGTGTATGCACATAAAGCATATCACTCCAGATTGGGTATGTTTCTCCTTCTGCAGTACCCACAGAGGTCACATACATATTCCAACTTCTCTCATACTCAGCATGTACTAAAATTATGCATGCTCAACACCACTTCAGTTCCTTCCCAAGCACAAGCCTCCTCCTCTGAGAAGAACTCATGGGGACTCTATGGCCATGTTTAACAATATTTTGAACAAGCACCATACTCATGTCATCTTATTGCTTGAATCTTAAGAATTCTTTGTGTTAGTAGTACTGCAGGACCATTTCAGCAAGGGCCACATCTGATCAAGTGCTTCCATAATGGCATAGTGCTTGATAAAGGTAGGGAGATGTCATTTGGCAAATGTTTCTGTGAATTCTGAAGCTTCATTTTGGAGTTGTGTTCTAATGACAGGCGTTGACTGCTTCAGGAAGCTCTGAATGTGCATTGACATGTCAAAATTTAAACAGTCTGTATTCAAAGATAGCTGTTTTTTGGGGTCTGCCAACTATCAGTAATAACTTGAGAATCCTTTGAAGGACCTGTCTTGTTTATGTGCTCTTTTTATACCAGTTGATGGAAATAAACTTTTGAAGGAATTTATAAAAGGGCTTGCAAGGAAAGGCTTTTATAGAGGGAGCACTGATTATATAGGAGCATTGATTTAGAAGTGCCTGAATATCCATTACATATTGCCACTGAGAAGATGACAGTCATCATCACACAAAGAAACAAATTTGCAGCAGACATCTTGAAGAGCAGACACAAGATTCTTTAGCAGCAGGTTCAAGCTCCACCCTGGGACCAAGTGTTTCACAAGCAAGAAACATTTTGGTCTCTTGAGACTCTCTGACACAGTAGAGAAGAAAACATAGAGATTCCTTGTAGGCAGCCTCTAACTGGTCATCAGTAGGGCAAAGAGAGCTAGGACTACTTTTAGCTCTAGGGAATAAACTGTAACTATCAGGGAGAAGCTTCAAAGGGAAGATACAGGCTTATAAGAATACCAGTAAGACAAGCTTCAGATAATGTAAACTGTTCAGCTTTGGTATCCTTGCAACTTGTATCCTTGGTGAGAAGCTCTCTTATTTGAAATAAACAGGCATGTTTTATGAAAGGAACCTATGAAAGGTTCCTAGCCTTCAAGACATGAAGTATATCATGACAAAGATGGAGTAAGGAATGCAGCTGTAAATGCTGCAATTGCAGGTCTGTGAACAGCGGGCAAAGTCTTTCAGCTCCACCACTTATGAACTATTGGGTTGTCTAAGATAGCTGTTTATTCCAGGGGCACTGTGTCCATGACATTAATCTGCACAGCAAGGAAAATTAAAGGGCATACTTGTGCAAGTATTGGATGGATCCTGCTAATATTGTAGGAAACAACTCACCTCCTTGTCATAAGATTACCCATTTTCTGAGGAGATATCTGCAGCATATATCTCACATCCATGTCTGCAAGTCTCATATTACGTGAAGCATCACACAGGTATGACAGTGCCATGCAGCCTAGACAGGATAGGCAAGATTTTACAGTGGTGATGTCCTACTGGACTGATAACTGTTATCTCTTGATGATCCTTTTGTTAGCCAACTGTTCAAGTGTGCAAATAAGGAGGACCTATTCTGTCTGAGCTGAGTGTTCACTACTTCTGAGACCTCAGTTAAAAAAACAGCACTCACATAGTGAACCAAATACATAGTGAAAAATTTGAATGAAAGAGACCTTCTAATAATGGTTCTCACTGACAATGAAATTAAAGCATTTATTGTGAATGTATGAAAAGAAGTATCTTTAAATTCATGAGACACGAAACTATTCCTCTCTATAACAATTGAATGCCAGCAGATATAGTCTCCATCTTGAACTTAAAAAGGAAGAATATTTAGATTTGTAGATAAACAATCAGTTATCAGCCTCCTTTCCCCTTCTGTATCAAAAAATACTTGCTGTTAACTTCTCACTCCCGTGCTGCACAGTGACAGGTTCTACAGATCTGAGTAACAACACAGAGCCTCCTTCTCAACAGCTGGCCCAAGGAGACTGAAATCCAATGCTGTCAAGTGTAACACAGGAGAAATCCAGTCGAGGCTTGATCCTGTGAAAGGATGAGCATTTGGATAGAGTCTTGAGGGTGTTGACATTTATTTTGAGTGACGTTACCAAGCTGGACAGCTATCTGAAGATTACAGAGAAGAAAGAACTTGTCTCGGTGATGAACACTTACAGTCCATCAAACACAAGAAAAGCTGTTTCTCACAATGCACACCAAGTGCTAATGGAGAAGCCTAGTGCCAGGGGAATTTTTGATATTAAATGGAAGTATCTGCTTCACCAATAAGCCAAAAAAAGATCGTGCCATCCAATAATCCTTGAAGATGCCAGAAGAGGAAGTGGTAAATTAGATGAGATTTTCAGTTCTTTCACCATCAAATAAGCGACTACCTTAATTTCAAAACTGCTGCCAACGAAAGCATAATGATAGTAAGAAAAATGAGGCTGGATTAACTTCACTTAGACTACATTCAAAGAGGCACTTCAGTATTCAGTGAAGATACAGAACTTTTACAGTAATTTATGTGAGACCTCACAGGTACCATGCAATTGCAACTGGCTGGCTCAGTGTCAGAGCAGAGATACTGAAAGACTGTTCAGATGTCATGGGGCACAGAGGCTTTGCAGCAGTCCAGGTAGAAGGATGAAGAGGAGCAGGAATAATGTTTTCTGGACTGTGATTTTAGGTGATCAATCTGTAAGAAAGGACTTAGGTTTGAAAATCTGGGTTCATGCTTAAATACCAAGGGGTACATGCCAAACTAATAATTTGTGACTCACAAAAGCTATGTAACCCAGGATTTAAAAAGGAACCCTTTTTAGGAGCTCCCTAGGGGTATCCTAGCAGAGCTGGACCACTATCAATCTGAAGTCTGAAAGTCTGGAATAAAGTAAAATGACTTGTCACACAACCCTTTTAAAGACAAAATAAGAATCCTGCAACTATTTCAGTAGACTATAGCAAGCCATCACAACTTGCAGAAAGTAATGGCACAGCAAGTAACCACTGAGAAGGAAAGCCCATGACTAATAAAAAGGCCAGAAACAGTTCCTGAGGACAGTACTGAAGAATGTGGAGCAACTAAATTGTATGAGAAATAGTCAACATCCAACCACTCTCTCAACAAAAAAAAAAAAATAAGGAAACAGTATTATAGTATTATTAGTATTATGAAGATCCTGTTTTATGTAGTCTCATTCTGAGCACAAGAGAGAACAGGGATTGAACAGATTCCCCCCCCCGGGAGACCTGTAAAAGGAAAAAGTTGTCCAGCCTTAAATAACAGAACAGGTGCAATTTTACAAATGTATGCACAGGCGGACTGCCACTTAGAAACGATTTAGTGGGCATTTCTTGAGGCTTAAGTGCTGGCCTGTTTAAACTCTGAATTATCCTGTCCTTTAGAACATTTGCTACGTGGGTGCCCAGAATCTTAACCTTGAATCTCAGTGCAGTGTTAATGTGTCTCTGAAAACAGGCCTGAAAGAGTGGAGGATTCAGATATGTTCAGATTACTTTTTAGAGTGAAAATAAATGTGTATACTCCTTAAATGTAACAAGGTGGCAAGATGAAGAAGGAAATAGAACTACAGGAAACCGGTTACTGCCTGGATCACTTTAAAGAAAATGCCTTTTTCTAGTAGTATTCACATTCATCCACTTTCCAGAAGGGCTGGAAGGACAAAGGATGTTTTTTCCTAGGGCTAATACTAAAATCACAATAACTAGGAATATATCTATTTTTTAAGCAGCCTGTTTATTGATACAATAACTATGTCTGTATTTGATGCAATCTGCTTACAAATGGCAAGAGACAATTGTCTGGTGAAACTATGAGAATACATTTTTGAAATCCTTTTAATCAGATCTTGAGTACTAGGTAATATCAATAGCCCTACAAAATAATTTGTCATTCATTCTAATTAATGTCCTAGTAATACTCAGTAAGGATAATTATATAATTCCTAATGTAGCCATATGTCAGGTTAGCTCCTCACTACACTGTTCGGCTGAGGATCCCCACACAGAAGCTGATGAACTTGTCAGAATCAAGGGGAAGGGGCTCCGTGTCGCAGTGCACTCACAAGAGCCTAGTGCATTGGAACTACAGATTTTAGGTTTTGATTTCTATTGTCAGAAACGTGTTCAAAAGCACAGCACAAACAGTATTTCCAGAACAAGCAATGCCTTAAGATAAATATCCATCTGCTTGATAAGATATACGACAAACTGCTGAATACAGTTTTTCTGAATTAATGGAAACTGCTTACCTCATCATAATAAGCTCTCAGATCAGCTCTTTTAGATCGTAAGTCCCAGAGTACTACAGTCCCATTTTCATAACCTATCAATAGCTGGAGGAGGGAAACAAACACAATTATACTTTCAGATTCAAAGGTATATACAAATATTGAAGAACTTCATGGTTTTAAGCAACTATAAAAAGAAAAGTCAAACTGATGTGCAAGATTGTAGTTTGTACTACATGTAATACCTAACTTTCAAATTATCTTTCAGTAGAAATTAATTCTCATTACCAACAACCTAAGTTTTAATATGGAAGAAAAAAAGTGCTTTATACTTCTTTTTTTTTTTTTAATATGCATTTTTTCTTCAAGATTATGTGCCTAGACAGTCTTCACAATTGTGTATCTGCTGAGAAAATAAGACCATCGCACATTCCTCTCAGCTCCTACCTTCCTTGTTCTTGGTTGGAGGCAAAACTGTGGGACACCTAAGAGATCACTTAAATAAATTAACTGGTATGACAATTTTTACTTCTTCTAGAACTAGCATGTCATATCATCATACATACATGACAAATACCAGCATAAAAGATTTGCCAAAAGATGAATGAAGAAAAACGATGCTCAGGAGAAAAATAAGAATGAACACATCCTTTCTCCTTGTCTCTGTTGAAAAGAACTGAATTATTGATCTGGCACTGTAGTGAGTACTCCTCATCTGAACACAATTAATTTCAGATCTTATGGAAGATGTGAAGTCTGGCCTACTTAGGTGTCCTGGAAATTGCTTCCCCTAGAGCCCATCTTCCTAAGAATCTGTCCTGGTCATGAAGACTGGGAATGACCAAACTGACAGATTCACACATTTCTGCGATGGAATATTTTATACAACCGGCAGTGATAACTGCAGTTGTTCTTTGTCTATAAACACATGGATCACAGAACGCAGGCAAGGATTTACAGTTTTTATATTAGGAATGTGAAGAGAAGAATGATGAGACCTTACCAGCATCTTTGCCATCATTCATTTCAGCTTGCATAAGTCATAAAAATTAAACCTGGCAGGACTGCTAAACAAAATATCACTTTATTTCCAAGTTATATAAAATTGATACATCGGGAATACTCTCAGTCTTACTAGATATGATTCTTTATATTTCCAAGAGAATATTCATTATGTGGAGATGTATTACCTAATCTAGGAATGATTTATAGTTAGTATATTTAATACCTGAATGTGAACAATAACTAATTACTTAAGAATTCTGCTCCTGAAAAAAATTCAAACTGTCCTAAAGAAATTCCAGAATATTTATCATTTTTTGCTCTGGAGAGGTCCATATGGGATTCTGTGGTAGAGTAAATGTGAAGAGACATCCTGCTCAGAAAGCATGCAGCTAACTGGATAGCACTTGTGTCAGGATGCCATTCTGGGATAATGGACTGCCATTGAGAGAGTGAGCAAAGAAGTTTCTTGCTCTGACTGCTTCCACTGGTAGTGTAGTGATCCTAAATGAATGACAATTGTTTATTCAGGAGTTAGTGATCCACATATCAGTTAACCTGAGTAGGTGCAGGCCTGTGCTGTGCTATGTTGTGCTGCACACAGCACTTGGCTTTCAGGCCTGTGTCGTGCTACACATGTTCCTTTTGAGATCTCTAAAGACCAAAATGCTGGCAAATCTCTTCACAGAGGGGACCAGCACGGTATACTGTGCCTTTACTGGATGTCTATCCAATGCAGGACAACTTGGGTTCCCATCATCTGAAAGAATGTAAGATTATCTTATTTTTTCTTTTTGTATTAACTCCAATAATTGGTATTTTCATCAATACGTTATGGAGTCTGAGTCCCTTCCTTACTGTTACCATAACAAGCACTTGCTCCAGTGCATTATGGCTGGGTACCGAACCAGTTGAGTTCAGTGTGTATCTACCAGTGTTCTTCCAACCTCAGCTTTTGTACAAATATTTTCAGGAAACTGAAGGAATAGAAAAGCATTTAGTATGTGACCCTGTTTCATAAGCCTTTCTCCCTGGTGAAGCAAGCTTGTCTTCTGATTTTTATCACTCTTTTGCAAAGATATCATGCTCCAGGTAATTACTAAAAGGTTAAATGCCTCCTATCAGTGACAGCATTTCACCTGATTTATTGCTGAAATGCTTAATGCACAACAGCACTACAGAACTGCAAGATACAAAGTGCTGTGATGTCAGGGAAGAAGTTGAAAGACAAACAGATTTGCTTCATAGCCGGGAATCTGTCTCTGCTCAGGTGGCAGCCATGCTGCTAAACTACTAGTGCTGTGGCATGACACTGGGTGAATGTGATTAGTCTCACTGACAGCATAATTGTGTTGCTCTGAACTCTGACCTGTCTGAACCAAAGGAAACTCAAATATTCACACTCCTGTTGGCCATGGTAAACCAAAAGAGAACTATAGGACAAACTCTATGTCTGTAATATTCAGCGAGATAAAAAGGAAAAGACCCATAAATGCAGTTGAAGGATAAAACAGACAAAGAAGAAAAATATGTGTAAAACTGTCTTGGAAGTAAAAACCCAAAGATTTCTCTTCAACTTTTGCTTCCTGGCACCTTATTTAATTACTCGTGCTTAATTAGGTTAAGAATCATGCAGGAGGCTGGACAGAATTTGAAGTGGGGAGGCCTAGCAAGATCTTCCTTGTCTTGTAGAGCTGCTCCACATTTTGACTTAACAAATCCTTCTTCGTTAAATGCTTTTGATGATGGTGTTTTAGGGAGATCTCTCCTTTACAATTAATTAATTGCACCCTGGTACATGTCAGCCAGCTTCTTACTTGTCCTGGTAGAAAAAACAGCTGGGAGAAAAAAAAAAAAAAAAAGCCTGCCAAATGCACGCTGTATTTAGGTCTTATTAGATCTCAGAACACAGACTCAGAGATAGGAATTTTAGTCCACCAGCTAATAGCATTAAACCTTTTCCTATTAAGCTTTCTCTAGTTGCTGGGAAACTGCAGATCACTGCAGTTAATGTCTTCTCCTGTGTCAGCAAGGAAAATCATGTTTCCTACAGATCTGCCACTTATGAATGTCTGTGCACTTCAGCCTGCTCCTAATGTACATTTATTCATTGATTTGGCAGACGCAGTTATATTTCATGGACATAATCGCTAGGTACCCAAATTGTTCTTAAGTGACACATTAAATGCCCAAATTCTCTTTGTCGTCTGTCTTCCAGCCACAGATTGCTAGATTCGTAAAAGAGACTGTCTCCAAAGTCTGCCTTGATAGTTTGCCTGGAGGGCACTCTGGAAAAATTTTGAATGGCCGAAGTCTTCTGGAATTACATGCACTCTTTTGGCACAGAAAAACTGGTCAGTCACTGATAAAAACTGCAAGTTTTAGGAATTTAAAGGACTTTTAAAAGATGAATATACAGTCAGCACACAAATTTCCCTGGCTTTCAGAAAGAGATCTTATGATTGTCCTAGATTTGGGAAGATTTAGATATATCTGTGTTTGAGGACCCTCAACCACTCAGTGCCCACAGAAGAATGCTACTTATTTACTTCAATGAAACATTCCCAGATCTGTAAAAAATGTTGTGCTAACCCAGAGAAAGATATACCACTGAACCCTTGCAGAGTACAATACTCTTGATAGAGTACAAGAATATCTGCATTTTGAGCAATGATTATGACTGATTTGTACCCACTATTTAATTCCTGAGGCATAGGTAAAGAACACTTTCACCTGCCCCCCATGGAGTGATGTAAGGGGTCTGATTTCTCCCACCAACACTTCTTGGTGGTTTTTGGTTAACTTGAAGCTGAGGAGCTAAGCAGAGTACGTAGAACTATCTGAAAACAGCTCTATTACCTAAGAACAACTCTGCTAAATTAAACAAAAGGTCTACGTATCACAATATCTTGTATTTAAATGGCCAAGAGCAAATACCAGAGAACAATATGTGAGGAGGGCAAGTACTCTCACATATTCTCTCAGCCTAAGTAATTTTTTTCATTCAAAGAGACAACTCCTCAACTAGACATGACTCCATCTAACCTCACCTTTAATAACCTTTTAGGAAAATTCAGCAAACCTCTTCAGTAACCCTCAAATTGATTTCTCTTTTCTTAAATTTTCTAGTCTCCCTTGTGACCAATATACATTTTCAGCTCCCAAAGCACCATTTGGAAAGAGTTTTATAAATTCTACCCATTGCACCTTTGAAGAAGAACTTAATTGGCTTGTTTGGAATATGACTTTTGTCAGCTTCATTTGATATCATTTTAGTTTTCATATTGAAAGAGACTATGAACCATTTCTACCATCTTCATAACAATTATGATTTTCAAACTCGGAATCACAATCATCTCTCTTCCACAATGAAATATCCTGTCTCACTTAGTTGTGTCTCATATAGAAAACCTTGCTCATTCTCTGAATTTCTTTTAGCACAATTATGTTCATTTTGAGATAGAAGGACAAATATTACACTCGGTATTCGGCAGACAAGTCAACCATGCATTTATGCAATAGCCCTGTTTTGTTCTCTATTCTCCTCCAGACACTGCCTAGTTTTTATCTTCTTTATTGGTCACTACTGAGCACTGAGCTGACATTTTCACTGAACAATCATCACTCAAAGGTCTTGATACCAAACAGTAATGATCAGATCAGACCCATTGTTTTGTATGTAAAGTCAGAAATATTTTACTCCACACATATCACTTCCCATCATTTACACTGAATACTTACAAAAGATGGTATTTAACCTGTTATCTTACTGCTGAGTAAGTCCAGCAAACCTTATCACATCACTGCTTACTCTCTTTTCTAGGTTGTTTATAACTATGTTAAACAGCAAAAGCCCCAGAAGTTGTGGGTTTGGTTTCTTTTTGTTTTGTTTTTTTGTTTGTTTGTTTGTTTGTTAGTTTCTGTTTTTAATTTTTCCTATTCTGAAGAGAGATTGTTTTATCCTTCATTCTTTCAACCAAAGCTTAATGAGACTTAGTTGAAAAATTTAGTTTAATTTTTTTCTCTACTGTTGGGTTTTTTTAATCTAGAACTGTATCTTTTGATTTAGTGCTTGGATCTTCTCTTACATCTGTGTGCACCTTTTACTGATACCTTCCTGTAAACATCAAACACTACCAATTCCACATTCTGCAAACATGCAAGTATTTTGTTAGCACCAATTTGTTCTTTACACCACTCTCAATCTACCAATGATATCAACAGCTGCACTGGGATGGTTTCAGTATGCCTTACATTTTCTACTCTTTCTCCCCATAAGTTTCCAATGTTTGTTTTTCACAGGGATTCATCCGAGTTTGCTGTTGTTGTCATTATGCTAGTACTTCATCAGTGCCCAGACGTCTCCAATGTGTTCTCTGAACAACAAGCAATTGTATTTACAAGCAAGTTCTCCTCTAACTACCTTTCCTGTGACCTTTTAATCTTCTCTCTTTCTACTGAAGTCAAAATATTTCAGGTTTCTGTTTGGACATGGTGCATCACATTCCTGTAAGAGATGTTCACTGACAAGACCATATTTTCTTTTAATATCATATCCTTTTTCCCTACACAGTGTGCTTTAGGTAGGTCATCATCAGCTTCTGTTGTGGCCAGCCAACAATATACCTCATCAATAAACCTTTATTTTCATTGGGTATTTTGCCATAGATAGTTAAATAGCATTTCTTGATGGCTTCTGGTTTGATGCTAAACCACTAAGCTTCATAGCATTTAATTATTTGCTGTATTCTAAATTGCTTGAGCTATTGTGATTCTTCCAAAAAGGTTTAGAGATACAATCTAACTGGTTGGAGAGCTAGCTGGCAAGAGCGTCATCACATAGTTCACTTTGCAATATCGGTAAGTCCAAGGACGGATAACATAAATGAAATTTGGATGTAGTCATCAGAGTTTTTCTAGGTTCCCATATTGATTTCAGCATAATGTCCCCTATATCAGTATCAGAAATTCAAACTGCTGTTAGTTTCCAATAACCATCAACTGTTATCTGAGGCACACCATCAAACAGATACAACATTTGTAAAATGCAGTCCTTTATAAATGCGCACTAAAATGAAATTGGCAAAAGTGATCAAAAATGATGAGATAGTTACATGTCCCTTCCACACAGGCAAAGTGCTCAAAAATTCAGTATCAACACATAAATAAAAAAGCTCTAATAAAACTGATATTCTGGCAACCAAATTTCATTTTGGAAAAGCTACCATGCAAATAAAGCCAACTCCAATTTTGCCTCCTGATAGTATTAATCACGACCCTAATGCTCTGACTGTATGTTTTGCTTCTACTTGTTGACAGTTCTTTGCTATTTTCAACTCTGTTTACAAGCAGCAGCCAGTTCCAAATGTGGGTTATCATTATTCTTGTATAGGACTTATTATCTTATGAAAACTTACTATAATGCCTTCCTAATAGCATGTTTTTACAAGTACTGAAGTCATGATACAGATATTAGTCAATTCTTATTTAAGCAAAGTCAAGTTTATTTAATCAGGAACAATTTTGATTGACTATGGGTTTCATACTACAGTATGATGTCTGTATCACAGATTTTTACTCATTAAAATTGTACAAAGAGAATTTATTTTCTTAAAAACTGTAAAATAGTAAAAGTGAACTTGAAAATATAGAAGGAAAGCAGATGATAAAATTAGTGAGTAAGGAAAAAGAAAAAGCCATCAAGACTAATAAAGTCTATGAAATGTTGCAGTGTTTTATACCATTAGTTGTACTCACTTTTCCTTCATCTCTTGGGCTGTCACTTAAATGTACAACTGGCCCAGGGTGAGTCTTTGTGGATCTGCAAGACAAAGAAACAATTCAAATCTGTGAATATTTTTTGTATGAAGAGCTAGATGCTTACCATAATTTCTATGTGTGTTAATGTGTACCTCTGTGGTTTAAAAGTAATTCTAAAAATTCCAACAGGGGAAGAAAACTACCTGAAAGTTATCCATATCTTTTCATGTTCTCCTCTATTTCCTTTCTGCCATTATAGGCAAAGATCCTCCTTTGTTGAAGAATCCTTTCTTCTATTTTTTAAATAATACTCAACATTTAATAAAATATTCCTTCTATTACAGTATTTTTTCCCCCTCTCATTTCTAAGTTATTTTGACTTTCCTATTCTCCACCCCCTCTATTTCTGCCCTCCCTCCTCACTCGCTTGCTTTCAAGGTTCATCTGCCAAGGATTTGCAAAGTCTTTACTGGATTAATTTCAAATACTGATAACAAGACTCACCAAATTCCATTCTCATTAATGACAGGACTTCAGTAATCTCACCTACACGGCTCTGTCAGGTAGCTTCTTAGCATTACTGCAGTGAGGTTTCACAAATGAAGCATCATGCCTTTGTCTATTCTGTAAAGCTTTATGACATCTTCAGACCAGCTAAAACAGTTACACCCACAATGCATGTTCAGCGAGACTCCTCAGTCATAAAACCCATCCTATGAGGCTTTGTAAGGGATTACTTATTGTTCTGGCTGTCCCCTCTTTTTTTGTAACATGTACCAACAACATAGCATACAACTTAGTACAGGGACTGTTTTTTAAGTCATTGATGCCCAGCACCTGACAGCAAATGCAAATCATAGGAAACTGAATGGACAGATGAAGATTTTTCTACTGTCATCTTTTCTGACCAGACCTTTAGGCCCTGGAAGACATACAGAGCAAGAAGACAAACACCCATCTACAAAACTTCAGGCTATTTGCATGCCTGGGCAGAACAAGACCTTTCTTCCATCGAGGTTCCGGGGTCAGAGCACATGTCCCTTTGGAGTACAGCTTAGGATCCAGAATTGCGTTGCTGGCTTTGGTTCACCAAAGGTCACCAGGAAAAAAATATGACAAAGATTGGCAGGGCCCATAAAGATAAGAATTTATCTGGAATCCATACCTAAAACTACATAGGCTCCAAGTTTTAAAACATTCTGCAAGATAATCAAAGAAACAAACCAAAACAAGTTTCTCCACCCAAACTGCTTGAAGGATTTTCCTAAATTAACAGTGTTTCTCTTTCTTTGGCTTAAATACTGCACTATAGCAAAACTGGCCTCTGTTCTACCAGGTCAGACTTCAAAACAAGATTGACAGTGATATGCAAAAATTACCAGGCAACTCAAACATTAAAATACTGTGGAGTAATCCATATCGTCTTAGACTCCTCCTTCCCAAAACAGTATGCTCCAACACTCCAACACATGAAAGCATGCACACTTTCCTCTGGCCTCTATTTTTTGACTGTAGAATGTTTTAAATATTTCAGCTCTTTGGTCAAGCACCCATGCTTGGCCAAAGCAGAGTGGCAAAGATCTTGTCTGATATTTATCTCTGAGCTAAAGACAATGAAAAATTATTGAAGAGATCCTTAGATGTTCCAAACTAAGTGTATTCCGGGCCAAAGAGATAGAAAACTTCAAGTCACCTAAAGGCCAGACAACCTTCCAGACTATACCCCAAGCTTTCACATGTATTTTAACATTACCACTAGCTGCATACACAAAACTAGTGGCAATGTGGCAAGCCCCTTCCTTGGTGAACCTTCTCCATGAGATGATCCCATGCCACCATCTTCAGCTTTAGCAGATCATGTTTCCACAGATACCTAACGCATGTTACTTTTCTATATGAGGTTTCAGTGAGCAAGAGCTCTCCAAGAGCGTTTTACAACATATCCCAGCACAGAAGTGAGATCAGCAGGAAAGCAGGGGACAGCCAATTTATACAGAATATTCTATACAGTCTGTCTTTAATGGTGCCAGCAGCAAGTAGCTATCTGGCTTGAGACATGGCACACAACAATTTTTTGCAGAGATGCAGTTAGCAGGAGATCTGGCTCTCATTCCTATCCAAGCCAACTCCCCAGAGGGGACCCTTCTGGATGAGCTTCTGTTTCTGAGTAACCTGTACTGGCATTAAAAAAAATCATTTTCACAACACCAGACCTTGGAGCAGGCAGGGTAGGTAGGCAGTGATGGGGAACTGAGGGGTGAGATGAGGATATTTGCAAGCAGTGCTCAGACCCACACCTGTCTTGTACATCTGTCCTCAGGGAGTGAATATGACATCTCAGGACATCCTAGGCTGCTTTGAACTTTGTTTCTGACATAGATTCACCTATCTGAACTGGTCAGAGTATATTGACGGAAAGAACTAGGTCTTACTGGGATACATGCTGCCTACGCTGTTACAGGCAAAGGAGAAAGGATAAGAGGAAAAACCATGACTAGAAGAGGCAGCATAAGAAATTTTACGTTTTAGCCAGATAAGAACCACTGACAGATGACAGAAGAGGGAGCAGAGCCAAGCAAACATCAGGCATGACTAACCTGGCAACAGACAAAATGGTGGAAGTAGCACATGCAGGCTGACAAAACATACTGGTTTGGGCAATTATCCTGGTCTATTGAACCAATCAGTATGCAGGCTGGGTCTTTTGGCCATACCAGTATTAGTAATTGACCAGGAATATTGGAAAAATTGGGGAAAGTGGAGGGAGAAAGGGAAAGAGCATACTGTCTTTCTGAGCTAAAATTTTATCCCATCTAGGCTGCTCTTTGTACCTACCAGTTTTAAAAGAACAATTTAAATAAATCTGTGCAACCACTGTCTTCTTTTTAAGATACGTATGTCATTGTTTACCAAAGAATGTATCTTTTTGTCTTTGGGTAGAAGCAAACACGTGAGCTGTCGTCATTCTACATTACATCTAACTTTAGGCTAATTATACTTTAATTGACACACAAACTAGTTGTTGTTCTTCTGTAAATGATACAAAACTGGTTTTTACTACCAGTCTTATTTTCATCTTATATTCTTGTAGGGGCATAACCTCAGATTTCCATGCTAAGATCTCAGCTAAAAGGGGTAACCTTCACTAATACAATACATTTTCCTATATCTTGCATTTCTCTCTTGAATCTTTTCTAAATGGTAGTTGGAGGATCCTGGGATTTATTAAACAGTAATAAAATTTATTTTTGCCTTTCAGGATACTAGATAATTTTTGTTTCTTTTTGGAGTATTATCTTTTTATTACTAGGTTACTAGCTGTTTCTTTAGTTTTGTTGACTAAGAGCTCCATATATATTATCAGCAAAGTTGATACCAAACACAGTCTGTGAACTAAATGGATGAGATTTTATTTTGCTCATTCTCTTTCCTCTATATTTGATATAAGTATTCTCTTAATATTTATATTGTCTTACTCCTCAGTATTTTAATAGTTTAGTTATTTTGTATTATAACTGTCTTGTTCTGGCTTCTTCCATTTTCTTCCCATTTTATTATTTCAGTCTGTCACTCTATCGAAAGATGCAATGAGCAAAAAATTTTTTTGCTTTCACATATACACCACCAGTCTTTGGCTCTCTTTTTGCTAGCTCCTTTATGTCAGATACTGGACGTAGGTGTCAAGGTCTTGGCAGTGGGGGGTTGCAAGGGGGGTCTCTGTGAGATGAGGTCAGGGCTGCCCCGTTCTGGACATTGCTGGCTCCAATGGACCCACCACAGGACACATCTGAGCCCTGTAGCCAAGATGCTGGTGCCTCAGAGAAAACTAATTCAAGAAAGGACAAAAACCATTGCAAAGGCAGTCAGGAAAAAAGTGAGAAACAGTCCTGTGAGCACCAAGGTCAATGAAGGAGGAGGGAAGGAGGCGCTCCAAGCGCTGGAGCAGAGATTCCCCTGATATCTGTGGAGAGGACCACACCAGAGCAGGTATTTCCCCTGCAGCCCATGGAAGACCCCATGCTGCAGTAGGTGGGTATTTCCTGAAGGAACTGCAGCATGTGGAGAGCCCACACTCTATCAGGTTTATCCTGAAGGACTGAAGCCTGTGGAGGGACCCATGCTGGAGCATGGGAAAAGTGTGAGGAGGAAGGAGCAGCAGAGCAGAGCTGTAACGGACCAACCAGAAGTCCCATTCCCCATCCCTCTGCACTGCTCAGGGCGGAGGAGAGGAAGCAGGTAGAGTTGGGAATGAAAGAGTGAAGTTGAGCCTAGGAAAAACAGGGGTTGGGAGGAAGAGATTTTAGTTTTCATCTTTGCTTCTCACCATTCTACTCTATTTTAACTGGCAATAAATTAAATTAATTTTATCCACGTCAGGTCTGTTTTGCCCATTGACAATAACTGGTAAGTGATCTCCCTGTCTTTATCTTGACCCATGAACTTTTCTTTTGCTGTCCTGTTGAGGAGAAGGAGTGAGAGAGCAGGTGGGTGGGGGTCTCACAACCAGCCAGGGCCCACCCACCACAAATACCTTGATCGCTGAACAGCTGCCAGCTTTGATTATACACACGTAAGAGGAAACAGAGAGTCTATTAAGTTTGGCAGTCATAACACCAACTCTGTCATGAAATGAGAAAGGATCTTTTTCAAATAGTTGTATATCCTAAAACTCATTTCAGGTGTGTCATCACAGATAAGATCACACACAATTTCTGGGTGATGACAACAGATGTTCCTGAAGCTTTTTGGAATTGTAGAGCCTCCCTGGCAGTCCTCCTGCACTGCCTTTCCAGGGCTCCAAGAAACATTGATTTTTTATACAAATCAAGTAAAGTATTTGCATCAAAACTGATTCTTCTTTGGACTGAACAACAAGGAATATTCACAAGGTGCAGCACAAAGCTTTTGGCTTGGCTGGGTTTGGAATGGGACATGCTGAGTCCCATCTTAGAGGAGATATTTGGGGTAGGATATACTGATACTAAAATAGCACCAGTTCAGATGGAGCAGGGAAGAAAACTGCACTGAAAGGGTTGTAATTTTCTCCATTCTACACGTTCT